ATCGTCGAATATCTCTGGTTTCCGGACTTCTGAGAGTTGGACTCGACAACAACAAAACCTGGCGACTCTCTGATGCTCTACCTGCGAAACCTCACGAGCCAGCCCAGGCTGGGATTCGTTCCGCTTACGGTGTTTCTCCGAAAACACACTAGCTTCGAAAACAAGCCGAATTTCACGGAGTCCTCCATGCCGACGCGAACTTTTCCCATAGATGTTCTCCATCGATGACGGTAGAAGCGAGCGATTTGCAGTCAGAGCTGAAAATCCGCTTATGCTGGAAACTAGTGGTACATGAATACTGTAGTGATGCTGCGGCGGCGAAGAAACATTACCGACGAATGCTTTCTCGTTCGGTAGGTCGGCGAGTGACGAGAATAAATATTTCGGTTGGGTGCCCCTGACATTACATCTTCGGTAGGGACAGGCATGACTTGCACGAGGACATAGCGGCGAAATAGTCACGTTCGATTGAGGAATAACAAAAGACGCCTAACAGAGGGAACGACGGAAGATCTTTAATTCTGCACGGCCCACTAATCAAACAATCCTTGTTTCCATTATGATTGTACGTGGCGTTCAGCAGCCACCGTCTGTGGATCCGAGACGCGGGACTCGGAGATATATTTCTACGGGTCGTATAAGAAGATCGAGCCTCACCCCCTCCCGTGTTGCGGAGGATTCCACGGGATCTTGTAATTTTTTTATACTTCTTCACCAATCAATCGTCCCTCTGACCGTCATATCCCCAAACAGATGAAAAAGCCGGCGGTAAAGCCACCCGAAACTAGTCGAACCTAACCTCAGAGCTGTAGGGATGATGATCATGAGTGTTCGGTGGAACCCCCGGCGGTTTTTGATCAAAAACCGGAAGGTCAATTCGGGGAGCGATTTTCATCTTAGGGCTAGACCTTCTGTTCATACAATGAGGTCGCTGACTGATCCATCCACTGGGTCTCATCACGGGGCTCTGTTAGATCCGGACTCGCGATGAGGACGAGGCCTTGTATGAGAAAACGACAACATATTATGCAATCACCACATGTTTAGCAGGCCGACAGATTGCTGATGGTCTTCAGTGACGCAATCTCGATCTCCCGACGCTCACAGTTTCTCCTATACAATCTCGCTCCCAAAATCGATCTTTTTCCGCTCCGGAAGATTTTTTTGAAAACTCTCATGGATTGTCGCGATATTTATTCTACTTCTACCCCATGATGCGATTTGAGCGGTGTCTCCTCCGATGCGTATTCCAGTCCGGGACTCTATGTCTCGTCGACAGCGGATACACGTCTGGATCGCTGTCTATCAATTCATGAGGAAAGCTACGGTCATAACTCCAAATATGAAACCAATGAATCCAGAAATTATCGCCATCTCTTCGGATCGGGCTCCGGTCCGGTGGGTCAACACGTCAGCTTCGATAGTTGGAGTCTCGAGATCCACGGCTGTCACAGTCTCATTCGCTGAGTTCTCACCGATTCCATCAGCCCAAAGACTCATTCCGGTCTCATCATGAGTCCGGGTGGTGGTGCCGCCACACAAGATCGGTCTGCGTCGAGCGGAGTGGAACGAATTTGAGATTTCGCATCCTACACATCGATCCGATTCCAGCCCAAATCGCTATTTTTCAGAACTCACCTCCCAGTGTTTCGTAATTGTAGCTCATTGCTGGATGCCAAATCCATGTCGATCGAAGTCGCTGATTCTGGTTTAACAGTGCTGGTCTCGGGCTTAATTGCGTCTGGAATGATCCCGTACTCGGGCACGTAGAGGCCAGACGTCTGTGATACCGCATCGTAACACCAAGTCATAGACTTCTTGCTCCGGACTTGCCCTGCGATCTCTGGAGTCCTCTGATTGTCAACAGCGGGGGAAATAAACCGATTCTTTTTGATTTCGTCCGGACTCGGACTTTCAGTGCGGTCTTCGTTCGTAACCATGATGTGTGGAAGCTTTCGTTATCCTTCGAACATGGATTCGACTCCAAATGGAATGAGGAAAGGATTGTTCTGCTCCCGCTGCTGAGAGTTGAGCTCGGTTCATAGCTCAGAGTTTTTATCGTCAGCTCTCGCGACACTTCATATATATCGAGCAGATTCGCATCTCGAATGGGTTCGAGCAGCTCGGCGAACTTAGGGCGCTGCGAGAGCCCTCAGACGAGGGAGTTGACCTTCGGTGCAGATGGCTCTTCCGGCACCTCGCGCAGACAGGACTAGAATCCCATACAAGCTCCCCTCTGAAGCACGCGCCGCAATCGGGAGAACATTTAGCTCGATCTCGGTGTAATTTCTCGAGCGCCATCAGATTGCCTAACTCGAATGGCAGATGACCACACTCAGTCTGCGGCTCTCTCCGTGTTTTTTTTCGGCTGGCCGCAGATCAAGTGGCCCCGAGTCCCGAAATGCATCGGATCTCCCAGCGGATGGAGATTCGCGCGGAGGTGATGAATCCTGTGTCGTAGGTGATGAGTTCTGTTCTTCATCCGGCGATACTGACCAGAGGTGATTGAAGTCGGCACCGGTATTGGGAATCGGGATGAAACTGTAGGAAAAAGACGAAAAATGTAGCGAGAACAGGGCCACTCGATCCGCTTTCCGATGACCCGGTTAGGTTCGAATGTAGGTCATCAAAACCAAGGACGACGTCCAGGTCTTGCCTGTAGCGCGCTGGATCAAACCCCATGACATACATATACCCGCAAATTTCACTCCTGCGTAAGCGAGTTCTTGATCTAATCGAGAATTCGTCAGTTGCGAGCCGATGAAACCAGCATCATCACCTGGTCGAAGATTCGTCGCGGGCGCATTTTCTGCGGTTGAAGCGATCTCTTCAGCATGAGAGATTAACGACATAAGCCACGGAAGGCTCTTCGGCATACTACCGTTGGGTTTTCGGAACTAAGTACCCATCTGAAGACGCAACATGCCGTGGAACATAACAGACTGACTTGAAATTCAGCATCGTCTTGAAACCGCCGCAATTATCGAACGAGTTGGAGTAAATTGTTGCGGCGGGCGGCGGTGACCGTTGGCGAAAGGGAAAAGAGAAAGCCAAGCCGGCTAAATTGAGCCGCAGCGAGTTTTGAGAACTCGGAGCCGAAATCGTTTTGAAAGCAATAAACCACAGATGAAAGCACTTGAACATCTTGAAAATCCAAGCTTCGCGGAAACGGGCGCAAGTTCGTCCCTGAGATCGATTTCTTCAAGGTAAGATTCGCTCTGTTGACGCCGCAAGAGCTCTGACGAGACAATATATGCGGAAAACCCCTGAGCGCTGAGACTTCTGCTATCAAACGTACAGAAGCGTCATGTTGCTCAGGTGAGATAGCGAAGACTTGGTAGCGAACCGAGAGGACCGTATGAATCTCGAAAGTGAATTTGAGTCCACATAGGTTCTCGTCGCCGCATCGCAGGTATCGCTCCTCATTGTGCTCTCGGCGATCCCACGAAAGCAACTTCCGATTGAACCAGTGGCGCCATCTCTATTGACGCCGGCGAAACCGCGGAGCGCGGGCTCCTTGAATTCCATCTGAAATGCAGCAAATTGTTTCTGCCGAGTTTCGAGCCTAAGACCTATCGTGGGAATGGGCATCCTAAGTCCTCTGAGCTTCAAATCGCAAATATCTGCACAGGGACTCGCCCCAGAATTTCAAGGAGGGCATGGTCGTGAGTAGAATGGTCATCGGATCGGAAATGCAGTAATTGCAGATGCCGCTCGATAATTTGCGATCATCAATGATGAGTCTTCGCACTGTGATGACTCCTCTTCCGGCTCAGTCGTTGATGGATCTAGAAGCGGAATTTCCGAGAGTTTAGATCCCCACCCCCGTTGCTTTTTCCGGCGCGCACGGGATATTCGCAAATTCTGGCTCGAACAAAGCTCTCGTTTCATCAGCAGCTCCGGAATTCGGTGGGGAGTGAAGGTCTTTCGAACTTCACGGAGGTTAGGATGAGATCTCGAGACTCCTGGGCTCCTTCGCGCGATGAAGCAATGCCCTTCTAACCCCCCCTCATACCCCTACGCTATATTCGTTCGTCAGTTCGTTACTTTCGTTCTATTCTTCTTGGGCTGTTCCACCGCTCATTGAGCTCTGTGGACGCGGAATGATGTCGCGGTGTTCAAGTCCACCTTCCTTCCGAAGACCTTCCTTCCGTATACCACTCGCTGTGGTGACATCACCGTGCCACTCCACCAATGGCCAACGGCATGCAATAATAGTCTGCGGTGGAATAGCTGAAGGGAAACAGTGCACGAGCTGAAAAACGGAGCGAACGCTTTCAATCCAATGAAGAGATAGTGATAGGGGCCGATTTTCCGCGCTGAGGTTCGTCCGGGGCCGATTGAATGTAATTTCCGCTGAGATCGATGCAACCTGATTTGGAGGAGTGTAAATTCGAGTATAGAGTCCTTATGGCACACCGTTTTCTTGAGCTGCCGGAGGCCACGTCCCAGACCGCTGCTCGATCCATGACGTTGTCGACGAAGGACTCAAGGCTCCGCGGTGGGAAATCACGAATTCCTGAGCTTGGACCCGAAGATTCCTCTATAGTCCTCTGTATTGGGATGATCGGTGTCTTCCTAATCCAGGAGTCACTTCAATGGGGCCCTCCGTTTTCCTTCGGCGAAAATTTCATTCCGTTCCAATAAACTCCGCCTCCTACGGCAGAACTTCATCGTCCCATAAGATACGGAACATTGATTCAATCAAGACTTCTGAAGGAAGCGAATGTCAGGGACGGCAGATCGATGCGGAGAAGTTCAGAGACGGCAGGAGTCCCTCTGCTCTGAGCGAGTCGCATGCCAGATTCAGGAAACGAAATTCGGACCGCTATTCTGCGGAAGGAGTCGCCGCGGAATGAAGACAATGAAAATAATCGACAGAGGCCGGAAATAAAGTCTCAGCCGGAGCCTGTCATCGGAGATGTCATGGGATGTCTCCATTCGGATGGAACACGAGCATCACTACCGTTTTCCCGATTCTCGGTAACCGCTTAAAAATCAAGGAAAATCAACAACGTTTATTTCACCACTGTCTCCTCGGAATCGACAGTTTTCGGCTCTACAGTTCCACTCTCTTCCTCCAACATGGAGGAGGCCTTCTCCTCGAGTTCGTCCAGAATTTCGTCGTGATCTATAACTTTTCGTTTCTTCGGCATGATGTAATTCCCCATCCCTGCCGCACGCTCGCTCTCCTCTATAGAGTACGGCTCGTCTTCGAGTGCTTTCAGTCTGGAAAAATATAGGAGAGTATTTAGATTGCTATGTCGACTGATATTTCATTATTGTCGGTCCATTAGCAATGGGGAGCGTGCATTTTTCAAAAGACAAAGACCAACCTTCGCTTATGAGGTTTACTCGTCAGATGCTCCCGGAGAGCTTTCTCTGATATGAAGTGTTTGGCGCAATGTACACAGTAGCTCTGACCGGCACCGGGCAAGTCATAGTCGATCTTTTGACGTATCATGGACTCGACGTTGACCGGTTTGAGATCTTCAGTTATCTCGTCGAGGTCCTTCGAACGATGCTTCGTCTTCAGATCCTTGCCTGCAGGGACGAATTTTTCACCGTAGAATTCACACCGAGCATGGAGCAAGGCATTGTGCGCCAGAATTTTCGGTCGAAATTCTCGGCTGAATACGGTAGAATGTCCCGATTCTAGGAGAGAATCACCAGGACCCTCCGAGGAGGAATAATGAATCGGATACTTCTCCATCTCGAATTAGTTCCCTTACATGAGACGACCACTTACCGAAACCGGTGTATTTTCTGTTAGACTTCTTTCTCCGGTAAGGTCCAGGCATCGTGGAGGATCACTAGTATGCACGATATCGAACAAGGAACGACAAGGTTGAGAAGCAAGGAAGAATCCTTCGTGCGCTGACTTGTTTTTATTTACTGACACACGTGCTGGCGGCTGTCATTACCATCTGTGGCTGGAAAATACCAGCTACGGAGGCCGCGCTTTTTCGAATATCGAAGGCGCTGCGAGCTCTGATTTGCTCATCAGGCGTGACATGGCGATCGAGGAACAGATCCACGATGGAGACGGAGGATAGAGCTTTGGTCCGCGCAAGCTAGAGGCGTACGCCAGCAATGCACGCCTTCTCCAACAACTGCTTGCTTCGTCGACCTAACGCGGGTTTTAGTCTCCCGCTACAAGCTCCGTTGATTCAAGAGGGTTCCGTCGCTCGAACGCAATACCGGAGACGATTTCATTCAGGACCTCACATTTATGTGCTTCCTTGTTCAGAGTGGAATCTGATGTGAGACCCGAGCTCATTCCACAATGAAGGGGGGGGGGAAGCCGCGCCGGTTTTATCTTAATGCGCCATCTCTCCACGGGAAACGAGCGGAACTTGAATACGCATACTTGATTGCTTGTCGAAGTGCTGCGACAGTAGAGTCTCCGAGCTTTCAGTGGATGGCAACTGCAATTCGATCGATGCGAGGTTTCGTCAGGAATATTCTCGCGGCACTAGGAAGGAATACTGTCGCTTCGAATCCCCATCTCGCAGCGGAGATACATGGAAGAGTTCACTTCAGCAGTCGACCACTTTAAATAACATCGTGATTTATTAAAATAAATAATAAGGTATGTACACGTTCACCGGGGGAACTCCTAGGAGCTGATTCTGGATTGAACGCCCAACTTCTCCACCCTGATTCTCTGCAGATGCCTCAGAATTTCACTGACTGTGAGAAAATCCAGCCGTATCAACGAGGAATGCTTCAGAATTTGTAACCAGTTGCCGCCTGACGTCCCCGATCCCGACTCTCTCTCGAAATTGTAAAACATCCTAGAGTTCGCTGTGCACTTCCTCCTGCTTGGGGTCCTGAGGCTCGACGACTGGAACTTCCGTTTTCGGATCCGGCGGGACGGCGGAGGCGGTGTCTTCCTGAGCGGGAGTCGGCTGCGTTTCTTCCAGAGGTTTCTCCTCCTCGATGATCGCCTCCTCATTGACCTTGATCGTTTCATCGTCCCCTGATTTCTCGGGTTCTTTTTCCTTCTTGACCTTCTTCTTGGGTTGGGCATAGCGAGCTTTGTTCATCAGATATTTGGTTTCACGATCGAGACCTTGAATTTTCTCGAAGATCATCTTCATCGTGAGTTTCGGAGCCTCATTGAGAGGGGTCTTCATCTGGATCGCAGTCTGCTCCACCACCCACGTTTCGGTATCCGTAATCAGGGTTCCGAGCGTCTGCAGCTCGACTTTCGTGAACACGCTCTCGTCTTCTGGGACGCTCTCGAGGTTCGTTAGATATTCCTTAGAGATCTTGAGGAGATTGTTAAGCGAGTCCAACGCCTGAGGCCGATCCCTGTGCTCATTCACCCGATCGATGACGTCCTTGGTGATGACAGCGATAGACGCAAGCTTGCCTTTGAGCGTCTCAGTATCGGCGGCGTCGGATTCGTACTCGAGCCATTCCTGTTCCTTGTTCAGAGCTTCGACGATCTTGGTTCTCTCCTTTTCCGTGGATGCGTTTTGATACTCCTCGGTGCTGAGTTTATCCTTGGTCTCATGCAGGAAAGATTCCAGTGCGTTCCTCGCTTTATCCAGAGCGAGTTGAGCGCTGTCCTTATCGTCAAGGTCTTGCAATTTCTTCGCTGACGCCTCGATGAGCTCCTGGTCGACGTCGGGCATATCGAGCACGTTGACTTCCTTGTCGAGTTTCTGCTTGAGCTCCACTTTCTTCGTGACGTTTTTCTTCTCCCTGGCTTCGGCGGCGGCTTCCTTCGGTTTCTCCTCTTTCGGTTTGTCGTCCTTTGACTTCTCCTCTTTGGGTTTCTCTTCCGTCCCAGGAGCATCCGGTTCCGCTTCCCCGGCGGTTTCGTTCTTGACAGTCTCAGACTGGGTTTCGGAGCCTGTTCCCTCGGAAGGCTTATCGCCCTGTTCAGGCTCTTTCTTATCACCTACTGGAAGTTCTGCTTCTCCCTCTCCTCCACCGAACATTTTGCCGAATTGTGCCTTTATCTTGTCCAGGGTGCTAGCCTCAGCTTCTTCGACCTGTTCCTTCTCGAAGAGGGTTTCGACCTGATCGATGTGGAAAATTCCAGAAGCGTCCATAGCCATGTGGATACGGACTCCTCTGACTTCGGCTTCTTCGGTCGGGTACTTCTTGAGAGACTCGGCGACACCCTTGACCAGGATACTGGAAATGTTACTCGACTTCCCCATTAGGGATTGCTCTTTTTTCGAGAGGAACGACAGATCACCGTAGTTGACGTAAACCGTGAAATCTTTCTCCATGCGTGTGGCGAGAATCGTCTTATGCTTGGGGAACTCATTGTTACGATTAAAGATCACTCGCTGGATGTTCTTGATCCCGTCCCGGCTGAACTCGACCTGGATCGGGTAGAGGTTCGCGTCTTTCGCGACGAAGGGCAGAACCTTGAAACCCTTGGAAAGGTATGCGGCCTGATAAGCCGCGCCCATGGCTGCGGCTTCATCGGCGTTGATGCTCTTCGAGAGACCTTTTCCCTTGAGATACTCTTGCAGGATCTGTTGGATTTTCGGAATGCGTGTGTTGCCCCCGACAACGATGACTTGATTGATTTGGTCGAGACCGATTTCCGAGCTCGCGAGAGCGTCCTCGATCGGCTGGGTCACCCGAGCGAAGAGATCAGCACACATATCCTCGAATTCCTGACGGGTCACGGTAACTTTGAGATCAATGTCCTCCATGACGTTCTCGACCTGGGCGTTGATCTCGGTGTTTGCGCTGAGAATTTTCTTCACTCTTTCCGCCTCTTTGTACAACTTGAAAAGGGCTCTGTTGTTCTGGTGCACTTTCTTCGAAGCCTTCTTGAGCTCGTCGAACTTCTTCGCCAGGTGCTCTCCGAGTCGGTGCTTGAACTCCAGGCCGCCCAAATCTCGGTCGTAGCCGACGCCTTTCACCGAGAGGACGGGAGCGGTTTCGACGAAGCCGCGGTCCCTGGTCTTTGCCGTCTGGTACGAAATGACAGTCGCCGTCGTACTTCCGGTACCCATGTCGTAGAAGAGAATATTAGTAGCCGTAGCGTTAAACTCTTTCCGACGGAAAGCTCCGTAGTTCAGGGCGACGGCCGTGTTATCGTTCATCAATTGGAGTAGGTTGATGCCGGCGATACTCGCCGCTCGGGCTAGAGCTCGGCGTTCAGCCTGGTTGAAGAATGCCGGCACGGTTATGACAGCATCTTTGATTCTCTGACCAGCTGTTGCTTGGGCAGCGGCCTGGGCGTTCTTCAAAATCATTCCCACGAGCTCCTCGACCGAAAACTCCATTCCCTCCGGATGGGTGAACTTCACGCCCCCGGAATTCTCATCAGAGCTCAGCTTATAGTAGGGGAATTTTTTCTGGAACTCCTGGACGATCGGGTGATCAAGAGGCTTGCCGAGCAGATACAGGAAGTTCGCGAACGCTTTGTCCGGGAACTTCGTCTGAGTGTTGAGCGCCATGTCGCCGTACTGGCGTTCTCCGTCTCTGAACGCGATCACAACCGGGGTCTTCCTCTGCGAGTCTCTGTTGAGGCATATTTCCATGGGCATTCCGGGTGACACGACAGCAATCTTCATCCACTCGGAGCCCAAGTCCACCGACATGACAGCGAGCGAGTGCGCGGTGAGAAACACGCCACTCAGAGAGAGCAAGGCCAAGGCGAGGCCGCACCGCCTCATGATGAATTTATTCGATCACAGGAAAGTAACAGGCAGATTCCACCTAGTTCCAAAGTAGCACTGCTCCACTTGGCACTGGCAGCGGCAGGCAACAAACAGCACCACATACGAATCCCGTTCGAAAAGTGCCAACACCGGCTAGCCGTAGCAGACAGCCGGTCCGATTGGTGGTGGCGACAACTTTCAGCGCTACCGGAGCTGTCAGCGGAGGGATGCTAAGGCCAGGACCGGAAGTTCGAGAATTGCGATAAACGACAGATGGGAACCGACTCCGATCCGACATTTCGATCATCGATGAGATTCAGTAATTTGAATTACTCGTCAGAAATTGCTTTTCATCGAACGGGGTGTGACGTCATCCGAAAGCCCCGCCCCCTATTGGGAACGCCAACTTCTCCAGGCCCGACAGCCAATCAGCTTTCAACACATCGTGGCTCTCGGGTCGCTGGTTACCAATGCGTAGGTTGACGCTTAGCGGCCAGCGAACCATCTGGAAACGTCGACGTTTGCATCATTCAAAGTCGAGTCGCCGAACGGTGAACAGCTCGCTGACGTGTTCACAAACAAATCCACAGAAATGCTCTACAGTGATTCCAGTATGGACGTCCTCGACGCCGCTGTGCGAGTCTCGGGTCTCCGAGGAGAAGCAGGTTCCGCTGGTGCGAAGCCTACGCGGAAAAGGCAGAAGTTGGACCATCTCACGTCGGAGGAAAAACTTCTTCGTCGCAAAATGAAGAACAGGGCCGCGGCGCAGAACGCCCGAGATCGGAAGAAGGCCCACATGGACGAGCTGGAGATCCAAGTCACAGAGCTGATCCGAGACAGCAAACAGCTGACGGCTGAGAACGAACGGCTACGGAAAGTGAACGCTGAACAACAGAAGCAGATCGAGGAGTTGCAGGCGAGATTGGCTGCGGTCGATTCACAGAAGATGGACACAACTACCGAAGGTTCCTTTGAGCATGCATCGCTTGTTAATGAACCTCTGCAGAAGGATCAGGTTCCGACGGTAGTGTTGTCTCTTCTCCTGTGTGTTCTCCTGCGGCTGATGTCAAATGCGAAGACCTCGACGACGACGACGACGAACAGCCTCACCTGTCGCTATTCGACGACACCGACCTCGTCGACTTGCTCCTCGAGCAGTCGGCATCGAACGTTGTTACCTCCCCGGAGCCTCCAAGCATCGTGGTGGACGCCGCACCGATTGAAAACCTAGATCACGTTTACCATAAACAGGAACCCAGTGGACCGATTTCAGTCACAGGACAATTGTTGAAGCCTATCGATGATTTAAGCAGGACTTCTTCCCCGCATTCACCGCTTTCGAGTTCATCTTCGTCATCTGGCTACGATTCGGATCGGAGCAGCGAACCCATGCCGTGGGAGGAGAGTTTCAACGACCTTTTCCCCGATTTGGTTTGAATTATATTGTGTCTATTTATTCTGCTTGTCAAGAGGGAGATGTCTCCGAGAGCACATACGTTGGAAAGAATAAATTCATCGATGGAATGTAGACGCCCGGAATCGTCATTAAAGATTCGACAGTAACTCAAAATGACTCAGAAGTCATACCCCAGCTGGGTATCTCAGGGAACTAAATCTGCTTCGTCGGGTTTTCATGTCTGACGCAATGATTGTTCGGCTATGAGACGGGATCTCAGGCATGGATGCCGGTCAGTCGCTAGCTAAGGCCTCTCTCCGAGATAGCATCGGCTCGAAAAGATTCCGAACGTCTGGAGCAGGCACCGCATGTTAGGGTATGAATGTTCTAGTTTCTAGGGGCTACAAGCGGCTGAATCTAATCCCCTTGGTGACCTTCGCCTAGTCTCGGAGGCGATCGATAGCGTGAGTTCTCCAATGGACTCCTGTCGGGAGCATTCGAGACAGGAGCGCGAGGACATAAGATCCATATGCTCATGTGGATTTTCGTGATATTTAATCATCGAAGTACAGCGGTGCGACGACGCGACGCTCGGGAACGCTGGATCGAGCATTTTATTACTCGCGAACGAGTTGTGTCGACAATGAAGAGGGTCAACGAAACCGGAGCGGAAACTGTGAAGGGAGTTACCACTGTGTCGACGTTGTTGACACCGAGTCGGTCGGCGGTAGGCAAATGCTAATTCACCGTGCGATACCCAACAAGCTCTTCCGAATAAGTCGGTCGGTCGTTTCCACTTCCAGTCCAGCAGGTGGGACGCTCAATATTAGCCTGAGATAAAGAATTCGTGTTTGGATCCTCGGCTACCGTATCGGCCATTGTCGACTCTAGAATAGAATGCCCCGTTGAGGCCGTGACGGATTATATTTATCGATATTCTCGGACTGCCAGGTCCAGATATGAACAGCTGGTGTTTGGCGGACAAGCCTTCCGAAACTTTGAGTTTTCGAGGAGCCGAACTCATCGTCTCCAGGCGAGCGCTTGTGTTATTCCAGCTCAATTCCACTAACTGCCACTCGCTATGCAAACAAAACATATAGGCAGTCGCTCCCGAGTTGAATCTGAGCGTTTTCCTCCCTCGTGGGCATCTATAGTATTATATCGTCGAGGAATTCAATGTTTGTCGGCGCATGGTGAATAGAGCCGAACTTCTGCGGGATGAGTCATCCGATGTCTGTGCGGGGCCCAGCGAGCTGATGCAACATTGGGGAAGCTAAGCGCTACGGTCTCGTGAACGAAAGTCTCAGGGCGATCGAGAAAGTTCCAGATTTTCTGCACACGGATAAGCGCTTATTAGACGAAGTCTCGCCTTCGGTTAGTTTCCGGTTTCGGCCAGGACATCTGCAATACCAAATCGATATAGCGAGATGCGTCCGAATCCGTCAAAACGGTGAGCGGTATAGGAGTCTCCCCTCCTCCTCCTCTGACGATTCTCAGAGAGATCTAGTCCAGGAATAATTCCGCTTTCATGATGAACAGTATTCAATATAGGGGACCGAACTTTGAGACGGTTGGAGGGAAGCGATCGAGGATCGTCGACGTGGAAACAATGGTTATAAGTTCGGGACATCGGGAGATTACGCCGAGTGACGTCCCATGTGGGCAGAACCTGATTCTAGAGCTGTAATCTGGGTCCATCGCGCGGACCCTGATAAACACGGACTGTTCATTCATGCACGGCAGAAAGACGAGGAACATTCAAGAAATAACGTACGGAGACAGGTGACTCATATTGTATTGTCGAGATAATAATTCTTCAGAGCTTCTCTGTCGCTCACAGCAATGACGCATTCTCTGAGTGTATCAGAGCCGAAAGACCCTGTGTTTCCCCCCAGAAGCGACCTAGATCTTGGAGAACTTCTATTGATCCCGTCAAGGGGCAGGACGGCAGAACTCCGCAGTCAAAGTTCCGTCGGTAGAAAATAAAGGATAAGGTAGGCGCGACAACGGCGGAAAACGCAGAATGAGCAGAGAAAAGCAGGGCGTCTCGGAAAATCCTTAGAGTCGATGCGGGGACCCTTCGTGTTTGCTCAGAAGTCTGCAGCGCATAGAACGCGATGCTCTTTTGATATATCATTCCGCAATAGCCCCAAGAGAAGTTGTTCACGCTCAGAAGGCCTCGGCCCATAAAACGTGAGTCATTTGTTGTCCAGAATCCGGCAGCGAACCAGAAGGACCGTCAAGACGCGTTAGATCGGAACTGTCTGCTCAGAGAGCAGCGAAACAGGCGTGGCGCGCTGCAGAGTACCGGAACAGGACTTTTCAGTCGGATATCACGGGTGAGATCGGGAATCTAGAGAGGGAATAATCGCTAATGTACAGAATCCATCGCAAATCTATCTTGAGAATCGGTGGCTAGCCCTCCCCCTCCTTCTCTCCCGTATTTGACCCGGTGCCTTGCAGCTCACGTTACGTCGCGAAGTCGGACTTCATAAATAAAATCGAGCTCCAGGATTTCAAAGTCAGGTATCGGCGAAGCTTGGCCTCGGGGCATAACCAACATGGAGATTGCTTGTACGATATCTCCTTCAGAACGGTGATCGATCGGTAGGATAGGCACAGAGATCCTTTGTTGCTACGAGACCATGTTGTTCCCTCCACTCAGGCTCCCGTCTTCGGAGTTTCCGTTCCGGCTTCCAACAAGGCACAGATGCTTGACACTCTGTATTTTATTCTGTGTAATATCATATGTCCGAGTGAGGCTTACGAGCGATCGGATTCTTCGATCAGCGAGGCTGCTTGGATTCTCCAAGGCGGCCATCGTTCTCCATCGGGGAAAAATGTTGGGGATAAATTCCGCGGGTGAAATAAAACAGAGAGGAACTCCATCCTGAAACTCGCTGTCCAAGCTCTGTGCTAATCGGAGAGAAAGTCTCCGCATGCCTTGGCGTCTGGACGTCTGAATCCACACAGAGAACGCCTGCGTAAACAAAGAATTACGGACTCTGTCTCGGCTGTAATGCCTCGTGATCGGAGTGCCGGAAGATTGCTCCCATTTCCCTCGGCAACTGAAAATACGAGGATTGGCACCGCCTGTCAAGCTGTACGGCTTTCCTCAGCGTCAGCAGGGGGACGTCGACGTATTCTCTGATTTACGACCTGGGAACCCTTCTATTGACGCGGCTTCGACTTTCGCTAAAGAGACACATGAGAGAATTTTGTACATCCTTACTTCGAGTCCCCTCGGCTCTTCGGAACGTGGCTCGCCGAGCCGACGATCATTCGAAAAAAAATCAATTAAGAGGACCGATAACGTGGCGGTACGTTATACTCCCATCCCCGTCGCCGCTCCAGATGTTCCGGTTTTTTCATCTTCTCGGAATTCTATGGAGAAGCGCAGCCCTCCCGTGTGTGGAAGATTGTCTCCATTGGAATACCCATCGTCTCTAAAGCGACCGATTTATGCCTTGTTCCAAGAGCTCCCGGAGTTTGAAATGACCGTGTTGGTGGAAATAATAACGGACTGTTTCCTTTTACTATAATACGAGAGTCGCTGACTGAAGCATCACATTTCCAAAAGTCATGTTGAGCAGCGATCGACTGTACATACAGTTTGGACTGAGGAAAAAGTATAAAACGAATGTAGGTTGACGTCCTGGTAAAAGTTGGATCCGTCGACAACGTGTGCATTCGGGCTAATCATCTTTGTATATAAAGCTCGGTAGGGTTTCAGACTCCCAGAGGGTTCTGCGTGCATACGCCTCCCGTCTGGCACATGGCCTGAGCGGTCTTCTGCATTCGTTTATAGTTGGCCAATTTTTCGGCGGACCTAGAATGAGGGATGCGATTCAGTACATAATTTGTGTTCCCGGATCGACTGAATGTTCAAAGATCCTTTCCCGCCGGAACGGCAAAGACGAGAATCGCTGGTGGGCCAGGAATGAAATGAGAACTCACCTGAGTTGTCCCAAGTTCCGGGCGACCCGCTCTGAGGCCTCAGAACATATCAAATCAACCAGAACAGCTTCCTGTTCAGCGGTGGGAAGATTCTTCTGTAGGGTACGGGTGCATCGAGCGAGGACGCACATCATTGAGTGGATATCGATGACGGAGTTCGCCAACCGAATCAGAAGGAATTGTTCGCCTGAAAGAACATCGATTCAATTCCAGGGCTTCCGCGCTTTCGTTCTCAGCATTGCCACTTAGAACGTCAATGAACGTTGCGTGAAATCATAAACATCGTCATAGTGGAACTGACCAATTATGTTCTTCCCGTATTTGATGAGCAGCGACTCGCAGCTCGCTCCGAACTGCTCAATGGATCGTGCCAGAAGAGCGGCAGGCATCTGCAAACGTGCCGGCACGTAAGCATCCAAAGTCGGCGGAGAGGAGATGCCCACAGCACGCTTCACGCGTTTGGAGCCCTCCGCGAAGATCAAACCGAGATTTGCGGTCGGGTTCGCCATCGCTCGCTGGAGCTCTTTCAGATGGCCGCCGGCGAATTGGAGCCCTGAATTCCGAAAGAAAGACCATAGAATTATCAGTTGAGTTTTCTAATTCTGAAGTGCCGACTGAGTCTCGATAGAGCACTCATAGAGGTTCATTATCTGTCAGAATTCTCCATCTTAATACAAGGGTCAAAGCCTCGATGAGGGAAGCAATTTCGAGGCTTTTTCAAGAGAGAGGAGGTATCTCGAGCTCGATGACTGAGCAAGACCATTGTCATTACCTTGAAGCGCGATGAAAAGACGCAGGATGTCGTTTGCTCCTTCGAAAATGCGGAAAATCCGGAGATCCCTGAGAACTCTCTCGAGGTGAACCTCCTGCATGAAACCCATACCACCGTGGATCTGGATCGCTTCATCACAGACCCACCAAGCAGCCTCGGAACCGAGAACTTTGGAAACCGCAGCCTCCAGATGATAGTCGACGTAGCCACGATCCATGTTACCCGAAAGCGCGTATGCCACAGACTGCCGATGAAGGATTAGCGATGTAAGTAGCTGGCCGAGATACGCGAAGCGTTCTGATGATGCCCGAACCACAATCATGATGGGTATCCGGGGTCCCGGCCCGAACGTCTGACCTACCTCAGTTATGTAGTGCAGCATTTGCATTCTCGCGAGTTTCTCTTGGATGTTCTCGTAAGACGCTAAGGTGTTTCCGAATTGTTTCCGTTGAGTGGCATGTTCGGTTGACTTTTCGATGCAATACCTCATAGTCCCGCACATGGCACTTCCCAACCCGAACCGACCATTGTTCAGCACTTGGACGGCAATCTGGAATATTTCTCCGTTGAATCGCATGCTTCCACATTTCAAGATCTATACCAGGATATATGGGCAAGTCGGCAATTTCGTGGCACAGTTACGATAAGATTTCGCCGCACCTTGAAACCTTCTCCCGGCTTCCCAATGACATTTTCCACCGGAATTTTGACGTTCTCGAAGCGAAGGGTCGTCGTGTTCGAGCCCTTAATCCCCATCTTCTTCTCAGGTGGACCATTCTGAACTCCCATGGAGCGCTCCACCAAGAAACAGGTGATGCGATCTTGAGTCTGACCATCTTTCTCAATCGGTGTCTGTGGAAAGAAGACTTGCATGGTCGGTCGGGAGTTTTGACAAATTCTACCAAGAGCCCCGTCGGATCCGCAACTCCTCAAGTAAGCAGAACTCCACATCATGATGCGCGAAAATTAACCTTGGCGAATACGCTGAAGATTTCCGCCGTTTGGCCGTTCGAAATCCAGATCTTCTCCCCGTTGAGAATGTAATGTTTCTTGTCAGGACTGAGGACAGCCCTGGAAGAAATGCTCATGGCGTCGGAGCCACTTCCCGGCTCCGTCAGGCAGTAGGCGGCAATAGTTTTTCCGCTCGCCAAGTCGGGCAGATACTTGGCCTTCTGCTCATCGTTTCCATATAGTAGGAGGGCTTTGAAACCTGCGAAGGGGAGAGAGGCTCCAAATCAGAACTAATCGTCCATTGAAGCGCTTACCGGACTCGTCCGACGAGCAAGCATCTCAGATCATTCCGCCTGATTGATTGATTGACTAAGTAACTAATTGACTGTCCGACTGACTGACTAACCGATCGATTGATGTGCTCCGAGTGTGACGGACAACGAAAGGTCCGTGTAGCCGAGGGTCTCACATAACCTTCCATATTGCTGGTTGTTGGTGTGGATGCCTCCGTATTGCTCTGGAACCTGGAGACCGAAAGCTCCCATCTCACGCAGATGATCCATGACCTCATCAGAAATTTTTCCCTCGCGATCATTCCGCATGGGATCATTCTTCTCCTGGAAATATCCTCGAATCGTCAGACATGCGTCTCTCGAGATGAATTCCGATCTATGTTGATATCGGATTGATGATGCAAAGGGAGATATTCGGGGGGCATGCGGACCTTCAAAAAACTCTGGCAAGTATCGGTGAGCATCCCCAAGGTTTCCACCTGCTCCTCGCTGAGATCTGTAAAAAGAGAGAACTTGAGTACATATCCAGCTCGCAATAGGGGCCTGACCTGAAATTCTCAACGCGAGAGTTCGGGCTCTACGAGAATACTTCTGATCGCTAGATTAGAACTTACTATCAGGGTATGGGAATACTTGTGTCAGATTAGCGTCTCCCTTGAAGATGTTCATGACGAAAGAGTTGCTCTCCTGTAAAATGCACATAATCATATTTGAGATCCAGTCAAGAAGAACTAGCCAGATCCCCCGTCACGGTCGTTCTTATTCCAAATGAGCATGCCTGTCCGAATATCTATGTCTATGGAGGAAGAGATCTCGCAACACCGCATGAGAGTCTTTCAAGCTATTTTTTCTTCAATTCTGGAAGGTCTTCACTGTGGGGGAAGATAATGCAGAGCGGGAGCACACGGTGCATTCTCTAAAAACAGAGGAACTTACAGCGGGAGCTCTCTGCTTCTGATGGCGTGAAACAGACACATATGTGGATGGTTACTCAATTGATTCCACCGAGTCAGGATTAAGTATGAATATACATATATGTTTCTCCGGCTAGAACAACAAGCCTCCGGCGATGCTCGAGCGCCTTCCCATCCAACTTGACCGACTGTCAATATCGAATCACAGAGCTAATGAGAAAATCAAGTTTCCGGGACTCACCACAGGCGCGCGACGCTCGACTTTTGCGCACGCAAGATTCGCGGTCGTGTGCAGCAGCCTGGCCTCTGCGAGGGCCAGGCGTCTTGCCACGGAGACTGCCGCTATGCGGATCATTGTCTGTCGAATAATCATATGTTAGCCTGAATTCTGAGCATCGTTTCGACGGGCGAATGAGTGTTCCTCAATTTAGTCGGACTTTGGTCGAAATGAAATCGAGACGATCAGAGAAGTTCTGGGGTCAGCTTCGCAAATTAGACGCGCAAAGGGGAACGATATCGAAAAGATTGATGCGAACACTCAAGCATTGTCACGTCCTGAGCCCCGTCTCGAATGCCGAGAATTCGAGCGTCATGGAGATGCATCTCGATTTCATATCGTCAACAACACGTAGCTCGCTTGGGTATGGCGAACAGCCTTGGGCTCATGACGTCGTCAATCTATTTAAAGCAAAGTTCTTCCGACCTAGAAATCGACAAGGGCCGTAGGTGTTGACAGAACTTCTCGAGGAACCCCAAACCCTCCAGGATGATGTGGGGGAATTGTTGTATCCTTTGACACGAAAGCGAGAAGGGATCGAAGGCGGAACACAGGAGGAGTAAACAGGGACTGATTCATGACAAGGCATGTCCGCAGAGAACCCTCGCAACGTAGCGACGTGTGGAGTGCAAGACCCAAAGTCCAAAGATCGAGTCGTTTCAGTGTTCTGCTGATCATTGACGCTCCCAGCCGCGGGACGGACCATTTCGAAAGCATCGGAGATATCCACAGGAGGGATTAGGAGGTTTAGAGCATTTTTTCCCTAGAATACACTCGAATAGACTTACTACAGATTGTTCCTCGATGGCAGCGCGATCCGAATCAGAGGAGAAGCACTACGACTGTCGTTCTGTTTCGCTCTCTCTCTCTCTTTATGACTCTTCCTCGTATTCTCTGCGTGTGGTTCCGTTAAGCAGCTGACTGACTGAGCTCAATCTCTTTGTTTTGCCCGAACATGTTCTCCCCTCTCCTTTTTGCCGAGGGGCGAGAGTTTGTCGTCTTTGTGCTGGCGCGAATATTCGAATTGGTCCGCCTGAACGAAGACCGATTCCGCATCACAGCTGACCGCACCGAGAATGCGAAGATTCTAAAGACTGGATTGGCGTTACAGAACCAAATCCACCATTGTGCTTGTGATCGAGGGATTTTGTGATTGCGGGTCGCCTACCAGCTGATCGCTGAGGGACACATTTCGACTGACAATCGTGCGAGGAAAACTCCAATCGAAGTTGCCATCTATGTACATAGAAGGGACCGGTCCTCAGGCCATTGAGTCATCATTCACCTTCCTCTATACAGGACAGTCTCTGGGAGAAGACCACGCGCATTTTCTACATGGGTGGACAAGAATTCCACGCAATTCAGTGCGCGCACTGCGGACTGTATCAAGTTCAACAAGTGAAGAAGAAACTTCAGTTCTCTTGCACCGTGTGCAGGAAGCAGCAGAAGCTCCAGGACGAACATTTCCGGGGCGCCGCCAAACAGTGCAGAGAGGTACTATTTACTATCTTACTATTTACCATCTGGGCACGGTCGCCGTGTCCCGCCAGTCGAGTTCTAACGGACGCGGGGCAGGAATCCGAGTATTCTCCCGATTCCTGAGCGCCGGTTTCGAGCGAAGCTCAGCTGCACCTGAATTATCGTCGCTTGGCATGTGTGTATATGGCGCTCCAAAGAAAAGATTCGATCACGTGTCTCCCAACGAATTCTGATACCACCCTCTTTTCAGGTTGTCCAACGATTGAATAAAGCCCGACACGAAGGGGACATTAGCTTCATTCCACCTGGGGGCAAGCAGTCTTCAGAGACGGCCCGTCCGAAACCCGCAGAGAAAAGGAAGACCTCAACCAACGATGGAGACGATAGTGTCAGGAGGCTCAGGAACGCAGATCCTGCCAGTAAAAGGGCTCGGGTCAGAAAAAGTGAACTTGATCGAATGAGTGATGAGGAAGGCGACTTGTTCCCGTCCGATGATCTGAAAAAACGTTCTTCGCCCGTCGCAAACGTTCTCCCGAAAGCAGCTCCGTCAGCCAGGATGCAAAGTCGCGATGAGGACGAAAACTGTGATCGAGGGATCAGTCGCGGAACCGCGGACAATAATGATGGTCTGGGAGACGACGACAGCGATAGCATTTTCGATGACGTCCCGAGTCCGGAGAAACAGTCGAAATCGTCCCCAGAGAACGAGGGAAGAGAGTGTCCCATTCCGGCATCGTCCCGAATGGATGGAAGAGCGAATCGGCGAGATCAATCAAAGGTGGATGCGACTTGTCTCGCGACCCCCAACGAAGAGGCGGTCGGAGAACCGGACCCTAGGCGAAGCTCCTCGCTCCCGGAAAATGCGGATGAAAATGAGCCGGTGAAAGCGTTTGAAAAAGAGGGAAGCGGCATCGAGGCCGTCAAACGAGCCTCGCATGGAGGAGGAGAGATCGAGGAGAAAAACAGAGCCCAAGAAGGTTGGCGTAGGCGGAGCTTGACCAAGCTCGCCAGATTCAAGTTCGACACGGAGGAAGAGTCCCAAGAGCCACGAGCGGGCTCGGTTCCCGCGCCTGCAGCTCCTGAATCGTCCGAGAACGAAACCTCCTCCCGATCGGATACACTTCAGAGCGGAGACGCGGGTGTCGAGCGCGAGACTGCGAGGGACGTCCTTGGGGGAGGTCCCAAAAGTTCGAGCAAGACCGAGGATAAGCCGAGGGAATCCCGATCGTCCCCCATCGACGGCCGGAATCGGTTCCTAGCCACGCTACAGAAGTTCAAGAGAACCCCGAAAGCGAAATGATTCTTCTAGATCGTCCTGACTCTCAGCGTTGGAAATCGCTACATGACCGTTGCTCTTCGCTGGTTGTCATCCATTGTGCAACATTGTTCATTGAGCAGTTTGGATAGCAATCAGTGACTCCTTTATTAGTGATCGTAATAAATACTGACGTTTCCGGTGGAGAAAATCGGGAGCGACGTCTGCTGCCCTGGAAGATTCAGTCATCTTCGTGATCCCGCTGATTCATACAGCTCTTTGTTTAAGACTATGCAGGATGGCCTCATCAGGGTGCCTCGTTGCCAGGAGCCCGTCGCACTACATCGGGTGCCCTGAGATCAAAAGATGAGCGCGGCGGCAGATTGAGGATCCGACCGCTCACGATGCACTCCATTAAGGAGAGAGTCTCTTCACGGAAGGGACAGAAAGGGACGTCAAGTCTATTATCCTGAATGATCTCATCTGCCGAAACGAGCTAGGGTTTCGTCGCGAACTTCACCTGCAGAATAAAGCGAACGCGATGCTTCGGCCCTCTCCGACCGAAAGTGTCCCTTTCCGCTTCAGTGCAGTGAGTCGACTTGAACGCAGTTGTGCTGTGCGTGCGACAGCCAACTCGGGGTGTGGTAATAGCGTGAATGTGAAACTAAGTGAAGCTCGGTACACGATGGATGTCTCCAGAGGTTTCACCACGGGGAGAGACTCGGACTAAGCAGTGAGTTCCCCAGGCATGATACGATTGCATACTCGAATCGTTTGCCGACGATCATCGATCTGCAGAAGTTTATTACTAATCTATGGATATTCACTCCAGTCAAAGTTCTCTGACGAATGTCAGCGAAACATGACCGCGTAGACTTCTCAGCTCCGTCATTCCGCCGGAACCTTGCGATTGTCGATCCACCTGTTGCACGACCCTACCGACAGCGAGGGCGCGATTAGATCGGCTCCGGACGCTGGCACAAGATACTTTCACCAGATGCGTGTCTCCCAGATACCAGAAGTCCCGAGCTCTCAGAGGGAAGAGTTCAGTCCTCCAATCGTTCGGCTGAAGCGAGAAATCCAATCTGATTTTGGTATTCTGGATTCACCGTGGGCGGCGCGGTGCAGTCTTTGGATCCCTCGCCACGAGCGTGTTGACAACCCTGTGAAGTATGACTGATTCTCGGAAGCAACAGATGAGAAACCACGAACAGAAAGAAGCCTAGACCGATGCTCGCCTTTCTCGGCGATCGAGCCTCGAATATTGGCTTCTGGACAAGACTCGAGAACAATCGATTAATGATGGAGAATTTTCTGTGGAGGAAATTCCTATGCTGCCCTGAGGATCGAGGACATCTAGAAACGAGAGAAGAGAAGGAACGATCCGATGATGCACTTGCCTAACTTCATGCGAAGTTGACGGGAGCCGCTCAATTGTTGGCTCGTTCGAGGCGTTTTGTCCGCTGCCATTGCTCTGAGCTGTAGCACGACATGGAAGCATAGGTTTGTCAGAATGAACCAGGAAGACGGACTCATTCCTCATCTCGAAGAATGACCGTCCTCAGTGCGGGTGTGGAGCCCAGAACATAACGATTCGAGGAATGAGAGTCTCATTCTCTACTCTATTCCGACTTCTGTTTTTATTTTCTGCCGGTCTGTCGAGTCCCCGAAGAGTGAGTTTGAAAGTCCCACAAAAAAAAGACTCAACGCTGACCTGGATTCGCAACGAATGGTAGCGAGAATCCTTACCTTGATTTCCATCCACCGCTACTAAGCAGGGGAAATTCGTCAGTGAAACGTTGCGAATCGGATTTCTGATGAGCACCTGCTCCATGGAGCCGTCACCGATTCCTTGGATTTCTGCGAAAATTTGAAGCAGGGGCGTAACTTGACCAAATCGCCGCCCGGGGCACATCACGAGGACTCGCTACTTTCGTGGAGAGCTCGCTGGTTTTTCGAGTGCGACTCTCGAAAATCGCGCCCTTCGGGGAAGAAATGGCCCGGACGTATTCCGTCCTTTTGGTTAAGATCCATAGATTGCGTACCCCTGGGTAGTGCGCCCGGGAGTTGGGAGGAAAGCCCTTCGGAAGGGGGAAGGGCCCACGACGGAGTCTTATGCACGGAATGTTCAGCCGGGACGAGAGCCAGCTCCCCAGTCCGTGCTCGATACTCGCCATGATCCGGAATAAATCGAGGCAGCGCCCGACAGCTCTGAGCCTATCAAAGGTGTGCCGAGCTCACACTTGTGCATAAGCGAGTGAAAACTTGAACTAGACATTCACTCGGGCGGAACGAGGATCTGGATTCACCTGTGAGCTCCTGCGACGGCTTTCCGGTCGTTCACGTCGCGAAACATGATTCGCACAGCAGTCGAACATCGATGTGCTGATGTAGATTTGGGGCCCTGTGCTCCGAGAAAAGGCCGCCTGGCCCAAAGCAATCCCGAGCCTCCTCCGAATGTCATCCCAATCACTGCTGTGCCATCTCGGCTGTCTACCGGCTCAGGCGCGGATGGTCGGAGAGCTCTTAAATATGGATAAATGGGAAGCTTCCGCAGAGTTCACTCCAAGACTGATCGAGTCTGCGATCACGTCCCGGACCCGCGGACGCGGCTAAACTGCGAAGAACTCCGCGCGAAAATCATGTCGAAGATATACCGAATTTTCTGGCTCGAATTTTCCGATTGATTTCGCCTCGTGACCTTCGATGTTCCCCTGGAAGGCGGTCATCATCAGTCATCGGGTGACAGAATCAAAAAATCTCACGAGAATCGGAGCAACACGTACTCCACGCCGGAGTAGCGGAACACCGGCGCTTCTCGGCGTGCCTCATAGAAGGCTTTCGGAATGCGGCGTGGAAACTCGATAGTACCTTCGGTCGCGCGACTATTCGTTCGTAGAATACGTAGGGCCATGGCTTCCAACAATTCCGATATAAACTGACCCGACAATTCACACCACTTTCCAATGGGAGGAAATCAGCTACCGCACCCTTGTTAGTATTACCTACTAGAGAGCACGGTGTGCTCGCCGGACCCGTGAGAAAAGCGCTGCGCGTGAATCGGCATTCAGTTCTTCCTGAATTCGCCCGAAGCGTACGCTATAGGGTGGTGAACAGTGGAAATTCATCGAGATGGCGTCCCTCCCGTGAACTATCGACTGCTGGCGTTGTGCGGAATTATGCGATTGGATCCCAACGTTCGACTCCATGCTAATTGATACGCGAGAGGGCGGCCAGCATCTAATCCATCCGAAATGGACATGTGGAATCTTTCAGATGTTCACAAGGGCTGCACTTACAATCGTGAGTAAAAAGTCCACTAGGGCCTTCCGTCGAGACGAAATCTTGAGCGCTTGTGAAACACGCTCATTCTGCAATGAAAGGACTCGTGCCAAGGCATATCGACTCCTTAAATTTCGCGCGACGAGGGACCTTGTCAAGCATCCTTCACTACCTATTTATACGGCATTCTACGCGCCTCGCTCCGCTGCCTACAGCCTCGGGTGAAGAGGGTGTTTTCTCGAAATCATAGCGCTGACGCAGATGACACGCCTCTAGCTGGATACAGGTTATAATTCCTCCATCGAGCTCCGGCCCCGGGAAAAAGAAGAGGAGAGTCAGGATCATTGGTGCGAGAAAGCAGAAGGCTCGAGTTCGAATTCACCTCCCCATGCGCGCCGCATAATGCTTTCAGTGTTGTTCTACCCTGAGGAGGCTAGAGCACAACATGTACTTATGCTTGTTGTACGCAAACTGGCCGGCGGAAGTGTCCACCGGGAAAAGTAGCGAGAGCAATGCTCCAAAGCGGGGTTGTAAAAGACGTGATCATGGTAGCCTTATTACGAGGAACGACAGTCTGTGTCTCGGAGCCTTCTTGCATTCGGCCATGTCATACTACCATTCAAAGCGCGCAGTGGAAGCTGCCGAGGAAGCTCGCGACCATGAGAATATCATCCGAGTCATGTGTACGGTCTGAAGATGTGTGAAGTTCGGGACTAAATCCCCCTTCGAGATTACGGTGGTCCGCTGATAGCCCATCCCTGGAGAATTCGGCGTATATGGTGGACTGAGTGAGCGCACTTCAATTTTTCAGCTCCCACGTGGTCCCGGCCCTCCTACTACAGGATGAAGAGCACTTCGAAGCTCTACCGACGACTGACGTCACGGTAAGTATTCCGCTCTCATTATCACGCGCAAGCTGAAGCATTCTTGTCTCGATTGAGACCGGACAGGGGAAGCTCTCGGGTCAGACTCCGCGAAAGAATATCTGAAAACTCCTTAGCGCTTGTGTCAAGATTCCCAATCGAGGCTGCCATTGTCGAAATCGGGGGCGGGTTACGAATTCGATCGACTGGAAATTCTCCGGTCATTGCGACCTGGAACTCATTGTCACTGAAACTAATATATATATCCTCTCTAGGGATCGTCCAGCGTTCTCCACGCAGAGGAGCGTTGATACAGCAGATTTAGGGAGAATCAGTCCACGCACTAGGAAACGAAGGTCGAGGAAAATCGACGAGGAAGATGAACTCGTAAGTGAATTCCCCTGAGCCAAGTAACTTCTGAAAGCAATCGTAGGAGCACAGGATTTTCGAGAACATCAGCTTTTCGTCAAGCGCTCGGGGGACAGGAGCGAGAAATCGTCTCCAATTGTTTTGCGCTCTCCCGCAAAATGGTTTCTGAATTTTCGTCACGCCGCGGATCTGACACCTGTTAGTCGCCGACCACAGGGACTGCGTGAGAAGGGAGATGTCTTCACTCATCGGAGTTCACTCGGCCCCTCCCGACACAGGAAGCGGAAACTGTCGCAAAGCTTTCACAGTCTCAATTAGCTAGGAAATCTATGACCCGACGGGCTCGAAGAGATACATCTTCATAGGGTTTGTGGACCCATGACTGCTCTGGTCGGTTCTCAGCTGTTCGGAGCAATCCTTTCCAAAAAGCTCAGCGGTCTGCTCTTGAGTTAAGCACCGACGAGGGCCGACGGGCGAAACGACGAGCCGATGGTGAACGAAGCCGACTGCGCCCTCTATGAATTGTTTTGGAAGTGCTCTCATATTGGCGGGTGCCCCTCTGACGGTATTGGCGGCAGCCACCAAGCATACATACAGACAGGCGACAGGCAGGCAAGCGGCAGAAAGCAAAACTGTTCGTTCGCCGTTCCGGGAGCAAACACGTACTGGGCTCTAAACGTTCTAAATGTGCACGTGCGGCGCTGTTCAATAAGTCTGGATAGTCCAGTTTCTTATGTTGACCCTCGCGTCATACCGGTGTTGACCCTGCGTAATGTTCGTCAGACAGAGAAACCGTTCCAGAGGTTCGGGACGTCGCTTCCTGTCAAGGTTCCGCTTCCACCCGCTCTCGACTCAAGACGTCGTTGACTCCCTCGACGAAGAGAATGATGTAAGAACTTCGTCTTTGACTGAAACCACAGTCGGATATGAGCCCTTTCCATTGAATCCTTCTCTCGCAGTCGGCACGCTTAATGCCGAGTCTACGTCGCTCACTCAGTCAGTATATCCGTCTATTATTCAGTCGCTGGACAGCCTCTCGACGCCGCAGTCCATCACGGCGTTCTGTCACTAGCTGAGAACTCGTGAAGTGGATTCTTGCGGTGTTCCATCGGAAACCATGCCGAAAGTCTCCGCTGTGACACTCACTTCGATGTCGATCGCGGAACAGTTTTCCATGTGACGTTGCTCTTTCCGGTCTCTGGGAGAGGAAATGGTGTGAGCCGAAAGATGATCAGGCAGAGGAAGAAGAAACCCGTGGAGAAGACAAAACATTCTCAGATATCTCCGCTACTGGTAAATTAAGATCCGAGCTTCTCGAGTTCCACACCACTCTCGCAAACACTTGATGCACAGCCCACGGAGAACACTCGGTAGGCGCTTCGAATGCACCCCACGCGAAAAAACTGCGAATCGTCACTGCTTTCTTCGCTTCGAATCGCTCTCCCGAGCCGTTCTGGCACCGTTCCACAGTCTCGGTCCCTCTCGGCAACTTCGTTGGAGATGATCGCTCTCGGCGATGAGACATTCGAGTTTGAATGATCACGAGAGTTGAACCTGCCTCCGCCAAATCTGTTCTATTCCTCTGACCTTTTTTGAAACTCGATCTTTCGAACCTCTAACGGTAGCACCGCTCAAATGCTAGGGATCCGCAGTTTTTGGGAAGCCGATCGTGGACGCATGCAGGCTCGAGCGTCCCCCTGTAGGGGAAAAGAAAGCACCGCGGAGAAGCCGCTTGTGAATCCGAGGAGAGCCTCTGTGAAAAACTAAGGAGTCAGACGATAAAATCTCCGAGCCGGAAGTCCGGTTGGCTTAGTGTGGGTTTCGATATCCCAATTCGCCTGTCTCGCCCCCGAACTGAGTCAGAAGGAGTTCCGCATCCCCCTAAGCTTGATGAGTCGGGAACGCCCCTGAAACGATTCCCACGGACTATGATGCTTCGTCGAGGATTTAGGACCCGGCCGCAGGCTCCGGATTAGGGACAGCAGCCTGGTCGATTCAAATTCAATATCAGTCAAAATTCGACACGGGGAAAGAATCTATAGGTTTTCCCCGGAAGCGGTCGTAAATCCCGCAATGATTCTTTACCATGATCCTGCGGTCAAGTGCGAACAGCGTCGATGTTTGCTTCGAGAATGTTGAACTTACCTGAATCAGTTGATGTAGATTCTACAGCACTCTGAACCATGTTTTCGTTCATTTTAAGTGATCGTTAGTGAGCCTGCGGCTTATAATCTATACACTGTTGCAGTCCGAAGATGTCCCGATGGTCGCACTATCCGCCGTTCCACCGGCGCCGGAGCTGTCGGTGGATCTATCGTCACGATATTTCATCAACCGGGCGAACGCTCATTTCTACAAATTGTTTGCCTTCGAGACGGAATGCCGACCTTTCATTGTGGTCCGGCACGACATAAACGCGGACGATGTGCTCACTGTTATGCACTCCGAATGGAAGTTCATAGGTGAGTAATGGATCGGGTGTCCGATGGAAGTCTTGCTCACTCGTCATCAAAAGGAGCTCACTAGGTACGATTCCGAGTATAACTACTCGACGCGCGAATGAGAGAGCGCCGGAATTCGGCGTTGCGCCTGTGTGATTTTCTGTATCGCTGCTGTTGTCCCTGGGGACCTCAGCGTAAGGGATGCAGGAGCTCCCACCGTCACGCACACCGACCTTGATTAGAGCAGTCTCGAAGCACCGAGTTTTTTGACCTTCAGCGAACTCAGTGGTCACGCCCTCAGGTCAGCGACCTCGAAATCTGTCATTGCCGCACGAGGCTCGAGGATTAAGCGCGAGGTGTTGGCCCTGTCGCAGCGAGTACCCTGGGCACTGTTCCTTCGGGAAAATCATGAGGAGAGCTCGCACATTGATCCCGGTCCTCGCGCTCCCGCTATATGTATTGATTCTGCTGAAGTGATATCCGAACTTCAATCTATGCCTGGAACCTTTGTGAAGGGAATACATCGGTGCTCCGTGAGAATCTCCTTCCTCCCCCATCGAATGTCACTTCATATTCCGTTCGATTTGCAGTACCGCGCATCGCTCTATTATTGGTGTCGGACGTAGGCCCGATGACAGAATGGAACCACCCGCGTAAACTCGACGCATTCAAGAAAGGCATCATCAGAGCCGCGAATACGACCCACATGTGGATATTCACCAATGGACTCAACACAGGAATCGCCAAAGAAATCGGGGATGCCGTAGCTGAAGAGCTCAGTAGACGCCGCGCGAAGAAATGTCACAAGCACCCCGCGAGGAAGAAACAGAATAAACCTCCCTTGACCCTGGTCAGTATTGAATCATCGACGCCTCCTTCGATAAGGTGTAGCAACATGATCTCAGTTTTTCCGGACCGGAGGATTCTGATGTATCTCAGGAAATCGAGATCTCTTGGCTCAACCACGATCTGCTCCCATATGCCGCATTTTTTTCCCTCCTCGAGCCTTCTCTTCGTGATCTCACACGATTCAAGCTGATGGTGGATTGGGGAATAGCTCCCTTTGTACGAGCCATCAGGGCGAGTAAACGTCGAGCAGCGCCTCGACTCACGAATTCGGCGGTCGATACATGTGTACCGATGTATTGCCGACCGAGCGCGGAGGTGGAACTCTCCAATGACGAATGCTTCCAAGCGACGAAGCGTCCGACGGATGATTTCAACTATAAGCGGGATCGATGGTTTCCAGGTCGGCTTGTGTCGAGAAGACCTTTTACTCGGTTGGGAACGATTCGCCAATTCGGACTCGGCCGACGTCAATATTCAGATAGAAGCAAACAAGCCCGAAGAGCAGAGATTCGAGCTCAACCCCGACCACACACACTACATAATCGTGCGTGACGACACAATACATAGAACCGGTATCAATCAATACACGCTGCGCTTCGAGAGGTGAGTCATCAGCTCCGCATCGAGTTGCGTGTCGAGCTGCGTGTCGAGCTTCAGGATTTCCTAGGATGCGTTACCCGCGAAGCACAAATTTGAACACCTGAACTCGAGCTCTCGTTTCTCGCAGGGTTCTCGCTGCACTCGGCTCTAGGAAAAATGCCAAAGACGACATCGATTCGAACGGTCACGCGAAGGCGAAGAGACAACCGTCAGCAATTACCATGCAACTGCCGCTCATGGCTATTCTCGTCCAGGGCGACACGAATAGTGCTAAATTCGTGTTCGACCGTCTTCAGAAGGAACTTCCCATTCTAGTCTTCCAAGGAACTGGCGGGCTCGCTGATCTCATCGCATTCGTTTACGATGAAGTTCAGAGAAGGTTCGATCATGGAATCCGTTTTCGCTTTATCATACACGTACCTAATATAATTATTCCAGGAGAACCGAGGTTCGTCCCATCTTCTGTGTGAATGCGGTGCCACGGTGCTGCCTAAATTGTCACCTTGACCCTTCCAGAGGTGTCAACGTGTGGGATGCAGAGTTCATAGAGGAGTTCGTTAAACCCGAACTATCCGCTATGATTTGCACCCAGCAGCAAATGTACGCCGAGCAGATGCAAGCCAGAAACGCCTATAGAGATCGAGTGCTTGAAATCGTACGATTGGCCTGCCATAGGCAACAAGGCGCACATCTCACCATTGTCTATACTCGGAACCAATCGTGCGACCTAGAAAAACTTGATCAAGTTTTATTGAAAGCTTTATTCAAATGTGAGTGGGCATCGGCGTCGGCCCTATGGGGTTAACGAGCCCGGAGAACTCGCTGAGTGTTCCGTAGATATCATGGCTCCTTCGGCAACCGCAGGGACTCGGAGCCCTAGGATGACTGAATAATTTTCTTTCAGCTCAACGTTCCGAACAAACTATGTGGTACTCGCAGCTCAAGAAAGACTTGCAACTCACGATCGACTGGAACAGTCCGAAGGTTGCACTGGAAGAAGTATTCCAGAAAGACTCTGCCAACAAATTCCAAATCGACTCTGGAATCTTCATGGAGGCGCTCCTGAGGGAAGACCGCGAAGAGTTCGTCGACATTTTCCTGCGGCGACAGTTCCAACTGAGCAAGTTCATGTCGAAGGGGAGACTGAGACTCATTTACCAAAAAGTCTTATGTGAGGACTTTTTCTTCCTTGTCTGTTGGATGGGTGCGCTGGGCAACACGGTGAGTTGAGGGAATCGCCATCGAATTAGATGAGTAGCGTCCCTCGAGGCGGGAAATATGCTCCCGTACCCTCCCGTACCCTCCCGTACCTCCGATGAGACGAGAGACTCCCTCGAAGGAGCACAGGAACCCTAAATCTCGAAGAGCCTTTTGGGTGCGGGAGGGGGGTGTCGTGTTCCGGTCGCCGCACTTTCGATATGGAGAGTTCTATAAACCCGTTGCCGCCTTCTATTCCAGTCCTACCGGGTCTCGGACGACTTCTTAGAATACGATCTCAACTGGTTGATAGAGTTCTGTACCGGCTTACCGGAGTACGTGAATGGAGAACAACTTTCAATGGCAGCCGCTGGTATGTGTACGGGCGACGAAACTCAGGCAGAGAGAAGGGCTCTCGTGATCCTTGCCCTCTGGGCGATATTTACTCATCGAAGGTGAGTGAGCGAACCATCGATAGATCGATGATGTTCATCGGGGAGCTTCCGGGATATGTCCCCCCCCCCTCCTATGAAGAAGCTCTTAATAGCGGAAACATGACACGAGCCCATTTTCAGAAAACTCACTAAAATTTTGTGGAAACACTCCGACCAACCTATCCATTTGGCCTTGATCATTTCAACGGCCTATGCTCGTCTCGCGGATTACGCAAGAGACGCTGCCACTCGAGCAGAACTCGAGGATTCGGCGAAGGAGTTCTCGGAAATTGCAACCGGAGTCCTGGATCTCTCTTGGGAGGTCGACGCTGGCTGTAGGGCCTACGATATTCTCTCGGAGGTAAGCCCCGATTGGGGCGAGAAGACAGCTGTAGAACTTGCGGCCCAAGGCAAGAACATGATGTTCTTGGCACACCCCTGTTGTCAAAAATGGATAACAAACCTATTCATGGGACGGATAACGGTACGCGACCTGTCCTGGGGTTTAATCACCTTGCCGCAGTCGGCGAAGATCCAAATGTGCGCTTTCCTGATCCTCCCGATGTACGTGTTCATTCGCTTCAAAGACGATCCCCATCAAATGGAATACAAACCAGAACCAGGTCAGTTCGAGCAGGATGCAATCGGGAATCCCCCCGCTCAACGGCCTTGACTTATTCGCGAATCATTGCGTGTCGTCAAGTAGGAATTTGTGAATATCTGAGAATTTCCTGCCGCAGACGAAGATGATGACGCGATAGAGTTCGTCGACGACGCGCCTTCAATCAAAGAAAACTCAGCACAAATGCACCAAACGAAAGCCCGAGCGATGTCACTCTTCCGGAAACAGAGACAGAAAGACAGGGAGACCGACTCGTTCCCGCCGATCTGGACGATGATCTATCTCATGTGGAGTGCTCCGATTACCAAGTTCTGGACGTTCCAGGTACGCTGAGATTTTTGCTATGGATAATTCACTTGAATCGCCGCCGATCAGGTAGCTCATTTGGAGGTGTGAAACACCGATAATAATGAACGTCTCTGAAGTTGGTCAAATCCTTTAAATCCCTTCCAGATTTTCTACATAATTTATCTGATGTTGTTTTCGATTGCCGTGCTGTTACCTTCGTGTGGCTATCAACCTCTGGATCTGGTGGTGTGCGTATGGACTTTCCTCATCGCCATCGAGTCCTGTCGAAGGTCATACGTTTTATACCGGGTGAGTTCCCAGTGGGTCTCTCCTCGGAATACAGAGCTATGTTCTTGTCGAGATCACCTGCATTTAGAATCATTCCCGGGATGCGACGATAAGGGGAGGATTGACTTCAGAAAGAAGATCATTGCGACACCTCCGACGGACTTTTTTTTATGGTCCCCCAACATTCCAGCAATACACCAGGATTCCTCTAGCGCTTCGCTGCTTCGAGATTCTCTTCATGTTCGCTCTTGTGGGTTTCTACGGGTGGAGTCGCGTTTTGAAGAAAACCTATCCATTGAGTCCATACGGAGCGAAAGTCCTCCAATGCATCGGCTTGCTGTATTCATATTATCGGCAAATAGTGATATATCTACCAATCTCGCCTACGTTAGGCCCTCTACTGTACAGAATCAAATACATGGTAAGTTGGGTCCCTCATTTCCATTTTGACCCTCGCTGAAAACGGAATCACAGGAGTTCGATCATCATGCTTCGCTCACGTGATTCACTTCCCTCAGGTGTCGCAAGATTTCATAAACTTCATGCGAATGGCACTCCTTGTGATGATAAGCGGGGGAATAGCCGTGCAAGCCACGATGTACCCCGACCACCCCTGGAACTGGAACCTCGCTCGAATGACGATCTACAGAGCCGTGTTTTCTCTGTTTCTGACGCCGGTGACCGAGCTGGGCGATTTCAAATCGCCAACATGCGCAAAACTTGACAAAGAAGGAAAAGACGCCTGTCTCGCAGCCGGGCCATGTTAGTTCACTGTATGCTCAGGGATATTTTGCGAATGGTGGCTGTGTACTCATGTGTAACTGCTCGAACCACTCGGCGACGGATAGTCTCTTCTCTTCTGACCCTAACGTTCCCACTTTGTTCGAATAATATGCCTGCTAAGACGTGCCCGTCATGCGATGCTTGCATGGATGTTTCGTGTAACGGGGAAGCATCTAACTGATTGCAGATAATGTCACAGATAGCAACCACCTCTGCCCTCTGAAAGGATTCTGGACCTATACATTCAGCATCCAATACCTGATTCTTCTGAAAATTATACTGATGACCTTGCTCTATGCATTATTCAGGTGAGATACAGGGAGGCTGACGGAAGATTGAAACCTTGGCTCGAGATCTTATGATTTGGCGATACACGTGCTTGAGAGTAGACAACGTGCTCCCATGCGGGGGATTTCTTGAGAATTCGGATTGGGAGGCGTCGGGTATCTGGAGGACCTGCCAAATCCATCGGCCGTGAGGGTCTTGCCGACTCCTGCACCCTGGTCAGCTCACTCCAACTCGGTTCGCTTTCCAGCAACACCGCTCGACGCATTGAAGCGGCGTCCGACAACATCTGGAAATTTCAACGATACCAACTCGTTATGGATTTTAAAAACCGCCTTTGTCTGCCACCTCCCCTGAATCTGATTTCTTACGGATTCGCCATCCTGAACTTGACGCTGGGAAGACTCTTTCGTGCGCTAAAAAATTGGTGCTGTTGCCGGAAACACGACCCGAGCCTCGGCATGCTTCCGCTCCCTGTCGTTCCGGCCGGTGCAACGGCAAAAGACAGCGACTTCGAGTATTGGCGTCAGATCTCTCAGGATTTCTGGACGGCTCGCGAGGAGGAGGAACAGGACGAGAAGAAGAAGAAAGACGAAATGGAACGGATGCAGAAAGTTCTCGACGAGATCGATAGCAACAGACAGGTACTGAAGAACCTACGCGCAGAAATGAGGGAGCTTCATCGTTTAGTTCGCCAGTCGCGTAACTACTTGGCCGAAGTGAAACATTCGGCGGAAGCTCAAACCGTGGTTGATGGAGCCGGCGGTCCTGGAACTCAGGACATCGTACGTCAGGCTCACTTCCTATCGAAAAGCTCACCGTATCCTGCCACTAAAGTGCTCCGCTTTCCTGTGCCCGATAAATACGTTCCCTGGGAGGTCATGTGGCTTGATTACGATCCTATCGTTTTCACTAAACCCTGTAATTGCTTCTCGAGCGAGCTCCAGCCATTTATCGACGAGGACGTGCTCCAGTGAGTATCATCGTGAAGTCTTACCGGAATGAGTCCGTATTTTCTGCTTTCCGTCGCATTTCTTTTTCTCCGCAGCTCTCCTTACGAGACTCGAAAATCATTGCTCAATCATTCCCTGATTACCTTAGCACATTCGTATCCGAACAGATTGAATTCCGAGGATCAACAACGGCCGAAATATCAGTGGAATGGAGTATCCGTCAGTCCTGCCGGAGTCACGACCGATCGAAAGTCTTGGATCCTCGAACACAGTCAGACTGTCGTGTATCTTCTCGAGCCCGAAGGCGTCCCCAAGAATCCGTACGGTCGAACAGGTCTACGAGGAAAAGGTGGACTCTGTCGTTGGGGTCCGAACCATTTTGTTCTGTTCGTCATTTCGCGTTGGCAGACTTCGCGAGTGCATCTGGTCGGTGGCAAAGGACTCGAGGTTGTCCTGATGAGAGCGACCCGCGGCGGACACTATTCACTTCCGGGTGATTTCGTTCCTGGCGAAGATCTCTACGCTTCCTTGGAGAAGTTCTTCCGTAGTACCGGGGAAACGAATCTTGAATATCCAAAGCACAGCGGAGAGATAAAAAAAGTGAGTACGGAACAGGGTGGATCGAGAAGGGTCAATCTCAATTTTCGGCCCGCAATCATTGTACAATACATGCTGATCTTTGTTTTTCTAGTTCTTCCAGAGTCTCGTCAAAACGAGCTCCAGCGCGGCAGCGACTCCGACCTCAGAAACAGCGCCGACACCGATAGAGGAGCGAGTTCGCGCTGAAATCGTCGACCGCGGCTACATGGACGATCCGCACAACACCGATAACTGCTGGAAAGAGGTCGAACTTTGGAGTGTGCATTATACACCGGAAGCTAACGAAAATCTCCATGTGAGTTCAGACGGGCCGGGTCGTATTCATGGGGTAGGGCATGCTTGGGAGCTAAGTGAAGAGTTCTAACAGCTGCCTCAGCGTGACTGCGCGAATATCAATGGGTCCCTTCCAATAAGCGAAAAAGTATGAGCTCGCTTTATTAAGGGCCCGAGACCGGCTGTGAGCGATAAGACGCGAACTCGGCGAGCGAGGCCAGAGCAATTATTAGAAACAAGTTTTCCTGGGCCCAGGATTCACTAGGCTTTACGTCGGACGTCATATGAATCGTCGAACGATGTATGAGAGCATGCAGTCGCCCGACTCTTGTCTCTGCCCCAATGACGGGGGAGAGGTGTCTGCCTGTGGGTATCTCATCGTTCTCCGAATCGCGGGATCGGATGGAAGCGGATTGAAAAGATTAGGTAATTGAGTCGAGAGAGACTCTTCCTCAATGGCGTTGACGCTCGACGACGAAATCCTATTCGTCACCGATGGGGAGATTGGAGAGACTGAAAGGAGAAAGTGTCCGGTCGATCCGAATAATTGAAATGATATTAAGTCTCCTTCAGCTTGCCATTCTTACGCTGGCAATGTGATTAAGCTTCCCACTGATCGGCAGCGCGGCGGCGAGGAGGCTGGGATGGGCGAAGAACTTGTCTTTCAGAGCGGGCCGACCCGCCCGGGCTGACGCGCCAGTCTCCTGCCCACCCCCCAGCCTCCCGGCCTTCGGCACGGCGAGCCGAAAGTCCTCACGCTGGAACTCAGACAATCTGAGCATAGCTCGGTTCTCCTCTCCAACCAATACATCGCCTAATAGAATCCGTCCACTCGTTGCAGGGCTTTTTCGATAAGTCTTTGGGCTGGCATCTGGTGACCGAAGATCTCTTCCCGAAGATACACTCGGGGCAGGCAGCTCTGCTTTCGAAGGTGGTCAAACACATACAGTCGAATCTGCTGAGCTAGGCCGGGACAAATTAGGCAGAGCGAGGAACTCCGTGGAAAATCCCGAAAGAAGATTCAGGATGTGAACTATGAGCCAGGACAACAGAGCAGGAATCTCTGCGGGGACTCCCTTCCGATATGCTCTAGAAGGATCCTTATGTCTTTCAGTATTAGACTTTCTCACAAGTTCGAGACAGAGAATCATTGAATGTATACGCTTGCGAATCTTTTACCGACAGGAACGCGATAATGAATCGTCCCTGCTTTTTATGTACATAAAATCTTGTTTCCATCGGGAGACTTTTTTCTGAAGACGCCTATGGATGTATAAAATCATTCTAGGCAACGAGACCCCGAAAATGATTCCGACATCAGATCTTTGGGCTCGCTGACGTTACGGAGGATGCGTGTAGCGATCGAAGCTCATTTCAGATTCCATGGCTGGATCCAGGATTGGAATAATACTTCAAAACCGAGGCCATCACCCCGTTGACGAGGATATGGTATCGAGACACCGACGTAAAATTAGGACCTCAACCGTGAAGCTTGGAATTCCGAATGAAAGCGTGCTCGGTATCCTAGAATTCGACTGGCTTCGACTCATTACCGATGAATCGAGACGCGTTTCCCCCATTCGGAGATCGATAGATATCATCCCGCTCAATAGGCTCGTAACTCTGAGTGTTGTGAGGGTCGCGCTCCATAGAAACTCTGCTAGGTCTCATTTAAAATCCAAATGGAGTAATGAACACGATACCGCCAGGCGCCTGAATGATGCGGCCGATCGATAGCCATCATCGATCATTCGAGTCTGTACGGATTCCACTCTGGACTTCGATGAGGACGAGATCAAAAAAAGAAGCTCATCCTTTGTACATATTTCGGCGAACTGGGAGCTGAGTGAGGAGTTCCGCGGGCGTCATTCCCGGAAGCTCTATCGTAGCCTCAATCCAGAGCAGGAGGAAAATCGTGGGCCTCAATACAGAGCAGGAGGAAAATCGTGGGCCTCCGGGATCGAGTTGGATAGTATCGACGGGTTCACTCGACAAGGATGAAAGGAGGAACCATAACACCATATTCCTATCGAGCGAGACACAAGGTCGGAACGAGGAGCGCTTAAATCAACTCCAAGAATCCAGATAGCCGAAGATAGCTTGGATGCCTTCGAAACACCACACGTAACGATCACAGAACGCTAACAAAATCCCCTAGTAGAACAATCAGCGAGGTCTCGGAGGTGTCCTCCTCGATGGCGTACGTGGATACCGTTTTTGAAGAACTGAGCCTCGGCACTCGGTACGTGACTCGCCCCCGGACGCAATATACGGCTCGTAGAGGTAATTAGCCTCGAACTCTGTTCAAAAGTCGTTTCGTTAGAGTCATTCCACTGTGTACGTATACTACGGACACGTCCCGAGCTTCGATGTGAGGAGTCGATTAAAATGATTGCCAATCGGATCCGCTGAAATATTGATAAATATTGGGAGATCAATCTTCTCTATGACGGAGAGTCGAAGCAGTTGGATTTGGAGTTCAGCTTGTGAGACTCATGGTATAGCGCGGCGATGGGCAGCGATGACGGCACCGGTGCCGGATGGGTGTCCTCTTCATTTGAGGGCGCCGGGGGAGCGGTTGCGGAGCTTTTTGGATCGGTGCAACATCAATTCGCTGACAACGATCGACGCGACGGCTGCGGGCCGCCGATCTGCCACGAACGGTCTGTGCTCGGAGCTTGGGAATTAGGATAAGCGATTCACCGAGAATGTTTGAGTGTGTCTAGTTCCGAGGTCAGGTTTGATTGAGGTCGCTCAACCACCCATCGAGCGATTAGCCTCCGGAGCGCCCGAAGAGGAATTATCCGGATCATGGATCTGTCCAAGTAGGTCTGGACTCGATCCGTATTAGAGGAATCGATTACATGGTCGAATGGTCAGCGCATTCACTAGTTCCGGAGCGGAACGTGCGTTCGTCAGTCCAAGCCTCCGCTTCGTAATCAGCCGCTGTCGGCGAATGCAGGAAAACGATAGCCGGACATGAGAGGCGAGGAAACACGGTAACAAATATCTCTGAGCCCATATCCAGTCCCAGAGTGACCCAGAAGAACATTCTGTGGTTATTTGAGGTTCAACGATTTGGGTTATCAATTATCTTTATTCCATCGTCATTTCGCTCTTTGTCGTCTTTGCGAATCATATATTAGTCGATATTCAGAGGTACGCGCACTTGTTGTTTTTGTGGCTGCTGCCCGTGCTACAACCACAAACACACAGACACTCAGAGACTAATGCAACCAGCAAGAGAAACCAGCTCATAGATGGGATGATGCTGTGCCGTCCAGGTGCTCCGAACGCATTGACACAATATGGAGATGATCGAAATATCCAATGCCTGCTCGATCTGATCTCTCATAGCCATAAGAGATCATGGCCAATGTGCCAACAACTGTGTCTACAGCAACAATAATACGGGCATCAGTTAGGGACCACCCTCGCACAGAGTAGATGCAGAGGATGAACGGCCACGGGAAAAGGGGTGGGAGGAAGTGTGTGTTTTTCACTGAGGTGGGAGCCGCGACGAGGCTCCCGAGGTATAAAAAAAGAAATGATTGCCGACGGAATCAACTTTCAGCTTACGAAAACCAACTCCACCAGGATCCAGTGATCGAATCTCAGAAGGAATGCAGATAACATCTCAGGGGACCGTTTTCATAAATGCAATTCATTCCGGCATAATATCGCAGATGAACCTAGGCCTTACACTGGCAGCAACCCACCCTAGTAAATGGTGGAGAAACGAAGATAACACTTGGATGGTGGGAGCGACTTGGGGAAGATAGAGCTGGAGTTCTTTGAGTGGCGCAATTCGATCAAATGTATGCTTTCCAGCAAAGTGCACTGTGCATGATCGGTGCGGAGTCATTCTTACCACAAGGCACCAAGGCGTCGTCGAAATGGATTTTCGTTTTGGGAAATTCCAAGTCATCTAGGGGCTTATCAAATATGCTGATGGTTCAATTCTCCTGTCTTCTCTCCCGTGGGTTTTCGTGTCTCATCATACGACTCTCTTGGTCATATCCACTATTAACAACCTTGATGCAGTTCGCGTAGTCTGTTAGAAATCGGAGGCTGTTCCACGATGGCGAGGATAAATTCAAACGTGACTCGAAGCTCTTGCAATCGTCCCGAACAATTCGTGGTTCCTCGATCCGCGAGAGAAAGCTTCCCAGCGAGGAGGGCTAATCTACAACATTAATTGGGATTCACGCTTGTCATTGCCTCGGGGCACCGTTTGAAATCTCGCGGTTCTCCTCCGATTTCCTGCTAGTGAAATGTTTCCTGACTCTCGCGCTGTCGACAGAGGGAACGTCGTTCGACTCGGTGATCCTTGTTCGGCGCCGACAAATAGACGTCGCGTCGGTCACAACGAGGCCACTTGATTGCCTGTATCTGTCAGCGTCATCGACGCCGCCACCGATTCAGTCCTCTATATCGGAACTGTGGTGATGAATGTCCGCACGCCACGGGAACGGCAGTGACTTCAGTCACAAATAAGAGGGAGCTTTCTCACAATTTCTCGACTCCTCTCTCCATATAGAAAAATCTATTTCGCTTCCCTAATTGTCGAGAGCTAGCTCGAGACCGAACGGCGACCTCTCGTGACCCCAGCTTCGACCTCGGCCCGCGAACGCAGGAGAGAATGAGCTCTAGACGTTCCCTTTCGAATTCGACTTTCGCAGAGTTCAGCAACGTGCGGAGTTTGCAGGGTGCGATATTTTCCTAAGGATTTTCGTTTCAATATCATTAATATTATGCTTATCCTTCGCTACCTGTTCTCATTCAAGCGACCCTCACCCCACGATCAAAAGTCAATTCAATCAGTCACGCTTGTCGAATCGCTCGCCTGCGTTTGCTAATTTTGGTTTGCGCTTCTTTTTCTCTCGGCCATTCCATCAGAACCGAATCGAATACACCGCAGGAAGACGTTAATGAAGTTCAGTTCAGCTTGGCTCTTTCGTATCGCCCCGTACATTCCTTCGGAGGTGCTAGCCAAAGGCAGGATTATCCTCGAGCCGGCAGGGTCGAATTCTCGCTAAGAAGTCGCGGCGATGCCGCTATCCTGGCGAGCAGTCACCCTCGACTCGAACGCTCCAGCCAGGTCTGGTGTGGCATCGAAAAATAAACACGCGATGCTCCTCCGCTTGGATTCAGGCCGGATCGATGCCGGTCCCCTTGGTTTGTTCTGGTTATCTTCTCGGACAAGTTGGCCGGGGACCTTGTGAGGAATGTGGGGTTTGACGAGAGAAGCTTAAACATCCACCACCATCTTCTTATGGATATCCGTGTTGCCCACCATCTGAAACGGAACAAGTTCCCTAGATGATTATGCGGAACGAACTTGTACACTCAATACTCAAGGCTTATCCCCCGCAAGTCTACAGACCGGAGGGAAGCCTTCGACAAAAAAGAATACGACCAAAAGTCAATAAGCTCCTTTGCGATGCTTGGTCTCGCGAGCTCTCGGGAGTCCCATTGCGTCAGTGCCCGATCCCGTCGCCTTTCCCCTCTCCGCTCCGAGATCCGAGACGTATCGATACCGGAGTTTCGCCCTTCCATAGAACCGCCGAGATTTCGTCCGGAGCCACCGCTTAATTTGCGCCAACGAGCAAGGGTTCGAGGTGTTCCCCACGATCGGACCCGATCGAGAGCGCAAAACTGTCAAGCGCAACTGTCAAGAAAAAAGGGGGCAAAACTGAAGAGGCTTCGAGACCCCATGGCCGCAGATGAAATTCCCACTAGGGTTAGGGATACACTTTGCCATTAGGCTCTCGTGGACATTCGACAAGATCAGACGATCGGAACGAAGGAAAAGAAACCAACTCGGTCGGGGACCTCCCGCGAGATGGCCAGCTACGTGGCCATTTCGCCGGGGAGCGACCACTCGTTGCCGGCTCGGGTCGTTTTTTTCCGAAGAATTCGACCTAAGAAGATGAGCTCAGGAGAGCTTCAGGATGTGTCGCATCTGGGCTCTTTTCAGGAGGTTGATTGCAGATGGATTTTTTCTTCTCGACGGAGTGATGCCGACACCTTTTCACAGCGATCTAGAGCGGGGAGAGGAATCGAACAGCAGCAGCGGCAGCAGGAACGACAACTTCGGCTCCGCCAGTGATCAAGTAGCTGATTCAAAAGGAGTTCACATCCTAGTCTGAGTTCTTTGTTATTTCTCTTCAGATCCTCCTCTCTTCTGAGTGAGAAGAAAGAAAGAGTCAGCCTGGAAAAAGTCGGCGACGAAGTCGCGACGCATTTGTGCCTCCAGGCGTGCATACAAGCAGGCGTAGAACAAACTGCTGCCGTCGTGGCTGCTGTCCGGGAAAGGAGCAGCTCCAGCGGCAGCTACCGACGCAGCTTGAGCCCCTATTGCGACGAAAGCACTATTGTGGTAATAACCTCTTTTCTAGTAACTCCTTTTCCGAAGAGGAGGCAGTCGCAGCAGCAGCAGCAGCTGATAGGCACGCTAGCTTGGCGACCCGCTCGGGCAGCTGACAAACGAGCATCCGAACGAACGGCGGTCGGTGGCTCGTTGTCGCGCGGACCTGCCGGCTAAGTAACGACGATACGGCGAGCACCTACTCGGATGGACACTCGAGAAAAATTACACAACGACTAGGTAGGTACTGGATAGACCGGGTGGCGGGAGCCACATTCTTTGGCTGCTTAGCCGGTAATCACGGCAAGCTCTTCCTTTTTTTTCTTCCCAGCCCTGAGCTCCCACCTCTTTTCGCAGTCGTCGCTCGTCCCTCGTCTTGCCCCAAGCCGGCGCGGCGTAAAACCTGAGTGATAGCGGAACCTTGGCCAAGCTCGAATGTTTTATTCCTTCGATGTCGGACGACGAGGTTTATTTTCGTTTCCCTCTTCGCTAGAACCCTTGTTCGGTCGTTCTTTCGTGGGACCTTCGTCCTCTTTTCGGCGTTTCCAGGAATAGTCTCGGAAAAGGAGACTCTCATTCAGCTCTCGTCAATGGAAACGAAAAAGCTCGTGTACCCCCAAACTCCTCTCCTCCGCCGACGGAAGAAGGAAAAATCTCGGTGGTTCCATTCTCTACAACGCTCGGTGTCTCTCCCGACGCCCGGATAACGATATTGGCTCCAAAATTCAATATTCGGCGAGCTCCTCGCCGCTCGACTCGTATGCTTTTCCGCAAGCCACTCAAGGACCGCGACGACGGGTCGGAAGTCGGAAGCTCCGTGAATAGCAAAGGAAGGCGCCAACAGGCATCCGGGAGCGAATGGAATCTCGCACGAGGAGAAAAGGAAGAATATTCCTCGGAGTGCATCACGGTCTGGAATAGAAAGCTGAGAAACAGTTCCTTCGAACGTGAAGCATGGTAACAGAAATCTCGTGCACGGAAAGGACCGGGAGACCACATATCGCCTAAATGAAAGGGGAATCCCGCAGGGAGCGATTTGACAGGAGTCGAGTGCGATACGTATGCAGTGCATAGAGATATCGAAGAGGAATTCCTCGAGCGAAAGGATGGAGACCGAGTGTGCGACCGATAGGTGTCTAAGATCCACAATCGCTCGTTTTGTTCTTTTTTCTTGTCTGATGGCGCATATGCATAAACCACATGTCGAACCCCTCCGCTTACGCCGCTACGGCTCTCTCATGTGTTCGTTCACGGCACATAAACGTCGTCCATCGAGGAGCGAATATCCTCCAATGAACAGTTTGCCGGGCGGATATCCTGCAACTTTCCTGCCGCTGGCCGTTGACTGTTTATTCCGTAGTGCCCGATCAGTCATGTCCGGGACAGAGATGTGCGAGGCTCGAATTCACAGCCATCTCGTTCGCTCATCCGTCGATACGCTCGTTGTCGTTCCGGAAGCGAGGCTGCCTCCTTATACATCGATAGTGTATAGCAGCCGTATATTCACATCATCATCAGTAGGCATGATAGAGCGGCTGAAGCCAGCCAGCGAATCCGCCCGGCGAATGAACAAACGCCGACCAATGGGAGCCTCACTAACGGAATAACATCAATCCGCCACCTGCTGTTCCGACATCTGCTCGAGAGCCGAGTCGTCGGTCCCCCCTTGGAAGGCGCGGATCGGCTCCGCATCGACGCTGCTCGGTGTCGACACGAGCGATGAGCCAGCAGAGGGGGGCTGGATTCCATACTTACTTGGCAGAACTCGTCGAAAGAAATCATTCCGTCGTTATCTTTATCGGCGAATAGAATCGTTTTGTCGACAATCTGTTGCAGCTGGGCCTCTTTCAGGTTGTTTCCGACCATCATTTTAAGCACCTGCCAACAGAGAGAGGCTTAGTATTACCATCATCTTCATCATCATCGACGTACAAAGCGGCAGACAGCCAATGGAGCTAGCAGCAGCCAAGTTATCGTTAGTCGCTTAGCGTCGTTCGGCGTATAAATACGTAACAAGCACGCTCGATTGATTTCCCTCGTTGCATGTAGCCCGCGCTCGCCATTCTACTCGGCAGACCGCTCAGTATCCGCCTTGCCATCCTGTCTCCCAGACCACCACTCGCCGTCCCGCTGCTAATAGCGGCCGGATAGCAAGCTGCGTGACGAGTCGGACGGAAAGCAGACATTTCGGCGAGGTAATACGCTGACTAATTTCTCAGGCTTGTTGACGACAAGGAACACGCCTAGTCTACGGCATGCTAATAAGACATTCCATGCTCGGTATACAGCCGCTCGGCAAAAGAATTAACGCTCTGTAATCAGCCGACGCGGAAACCGAGCAACCGAAACTCGTTCATAATAATTAGCTGCCTCCGTTGAAACAGAGTCAGTAATTGCGACGGAAGAGGATGGAGCCGTTATCCAGCAGGAAGATCACAGCATCTTACGCACCTGGAAAAGCTCCCCGTTCGAGATGAAACCGTCGTTGTCGATGTCATAGATACGAAACGCGAAACGCAACTTGCTCTCCTTGTCGCCCTTGACGCTGAATTGGCTCACTCCCTGGATGAACTCTGCAATTGAAAGGCATCGGCTCAGAAACACAAAGCATCGATGTTGGAAACTCTTCCTATCGTGTTATCGAGGGCTCTGGAAATTCTATGCGTCAGGGAGGAAGCCGCCGAAACCTTGCGGCTATCGATGATCGACGTGCACCACCAGGGAACGAGGTTCGGGAGAAAAACGCCAGTCGAAACCATCTGCGGTAGCGGAAATTGTCAGAATCAGCATACGCTGCACGTTTTCGATAGAAGGAAGAGGTTTCTAGTCGGGAGATGTCGCATCCGTCGCTGTCTTCTCCTCGGAGAGCTCTCGGAGGACGTCGCGTTGATCTCCGCGAATTCGTTTATCATTCTCCGTTGCCTTCATTTGAATCGATTTCCCTCAGCGTGGCGATCGCTCGACGAGAGCGACCATTCGCCGAGATGATGAATTCTACGACAAAGCGAGGCGAGGAGTTCTCCCGAGGATTTATTCGAGAGATTTCGGGCTGGTATACGAAGGTCCCCGTCCGAGAAGAAAAGTGACGCAACGACTATCAGGAATCTGAACGCATATGTTCCTCAATCCAGTGCGAGATGCCAGGCCATCGATCGTCTTCTCCGTATATTTCTCAACATCATTTCTGCGTGATTTATATTGAAAACATCCCTTCCTAGGCCAGCATTCCGCTCGAAGCAGTCGCTTGTCTCTCTTCATCCGGAGGATACCGACGAAGAAGATAGTTCTCTAGATTCAACGAGACTTTCGGCCGTTCTCTCAGCTTCACCCTCTCTCTCTCTATCACCGAGTCTGGGCGAATCGACGGGCGAACCATTCGGCGGCTCGCCCGAAACGTATTCAGAGACTCCTCCGCCTCGGTCTTCCCTCCTCGCTGCTCCTTCTCACGCATTTTCTGCGCTGCTGCCAAACCCAGCTCTGACACACAGGAAGTTGGTCTCGTTCGCCGCTTTCTTATCTTGGCACGATGTCACCAACGCCGATGCTGCCGCCGGCCGCCTGTGCCACGTTGTCGTTCACGCGAGACCCGTATTTTCCCCGTACATAGAGAAGCGATTTGGCGCTTATTATCAGGACAGAATTCGTTCGGAGCCGGGTCCTCCGTGACACAGTAATGAGAGTACTTGGGAGTGGCGACAATGTCCCTGAACTTGCCGCGTCGGTCGTTGTTGTTGTTGTTGTTGCGTTGTCGGGTGACAGAGGGAACTTTTGCCGCAACGACGACGACGACGAGCCATTCTCCCTCAAACAGTCAGATAAACAGACTGTCTGGATGGAACACGAAAAAGAGACGGGGGAACAAGGGAGATAGGGCAGCGTTCACTTGACGACAACCTTTTAAAATCGGATGCACTCACGGATGCAGAGCCGCTCGGCACGACAGATTCGCACGCCATGTCGTTCGAATCCAAGAAGAAGAGTCGAATACTGTCGACGTTCGCCTCGGACTCAGGCCGGAGCAGAAGAGAGAAACACTCCCGACGGGAAGAGCACCTGACGCCGAGTGCGGTCCCTCGAGTGACATCTGTCATCACTTGCGACGAGGAATTGCCGAAGCTTGCGAGGCTTGACTTAAGCCTCCTTCGCCATTAGGTCGAAGATTTTGTGGAGAGCCATGACGTCGTGATAACTCCACAGACCAATTCGAAGCCTGAGCGTATCCAACTCTTTCCGGAGTCGATTGATCGAGAGATGCTTACGCTTCTTTTTGAAACTCCGAAGTCCGAGGTATGCGATGATCGAACTTGCCACCTTCGGGAGTATCACCCACCGGTAGAGCATCGCCGAGAGGAATGCTTGGCGCGGTCACACAAACAAGGAAGCTCCCATGAGGGTGACTATTATCGAGGTTCAAAATTCAACTCACCCTTGAAGCAGATTTCCCCGTTGCGGTCGGTATCAAAAATATCTATAACCCTTTGAACGAGGGGGTTCTGCTGGAGCTCAGGCAGGGACATGAATTCATCGATGCTCAGACTCCCGCTGTTGTCGAGGTCGAGCTTGCGGAAGCGTTTTCCCAATCTCTTTATTTCTTCGTGATCGAATGTGGAGCACATCTCCATCGGCAAAGAGGCCTCGTTTCCCTGAAAAGCAGAAGACAATCGGTGAAATCACTCGATCGCAGACACTCAAAAAAACGATAGTACCGCTCGGAATGCGGGAGACTTCCGCGAAACAGTCGAATCAAGAGTGGACGGAACCACGACCAACATCCCTACGGAGAAGCGCTTCGGAAACTCTAAGGGATCGATCCTCGATGAATTCGAAACCCGGTGCTATCGGACGGCATCAAACTGGCGGGGGAAAATATTCGTTTCGCCGAAAGCCTTGGCGAGGGGAAGATTCCGTGCCCTGCCACGATAAAAACAATCAGTCGAGTAGACGGAGCCTCGACGAAAAAACGAAGAATAGACGAAGGAGCGCCGTTCGTTTGAGGAAAACGAAATACATATGAGGGATGATGAGGAGCATTTCATATCAATCTAGCAAGGCGCCCTGCGGAAGGTTTTGGTACTGAAGAAAAATTGGCTCACTGAACGGCTCGACGTTCGTGATCTCGGATGCGTCGAAAATAGGCATCCTCTTTCAGTCGGCGATGCCCATGATGGAACAAAAGACACAGCGAGATGATGGGAGGGCGAAAATTCATTCTGTACCCCAGGGCCCTCAGCGGTGTCAACACCGACAGCCTTTGACGTGGAGCCCGCAATTTGGTCGCAGTCAGACTTGACGATAAACACAGTTCCGACCCCGTTGAGCATTAGGCAGCTTATCTGCCGCACATGCTCCGCGAGAGTATGCTCTGCGGTTCCACCGGCCCGTTGTGCTCTGTTCTCTGGTGAGAGTTTCCGTTTTGAGCCGCCCGTTCCCCGGACTCTATCGAGGGCCGCTCTTTATTACGGGAGTTTCCTTTCTGTTGCAGCAGCATCAAATATGGCTCAGTGGGTGCTTCATTCTCGACCTTATATTGCCTCTATCTCGCAATCAGATCCCGTCAGGACGATGGGCTGCTGTTTTAGCTTCACTGGCTTTCATGCTTGGTGACGCATTTTCTTACGCGGATGGATTCTCGGTTCGGCGCAAGCCTGGCGAGTCCCAGCGACCGATGCCTCCGGCTCGGCAGCGAGCCGAAAATATGCGACGAATTTCCGGTTTCTTCGCCTCGAGCAAGCGGTGGTCAGAAGCTGTTTAGCCGCACAATGCATCGCAGCGCTCTGCGAAACTACCGCGTCAACTCGGGGACCGATTCGGCGGAATTATTCTCTTTTCTCGCTCGATGATTACGCATTCAACGCCTGCGGGCACTGCCTTCGCTCGTGGGCCCCCAGAGGGGGGACTTTTCAAGTTTGGAAGGCGGTCACCGATCGCGGTATTCAACGCGAGCAGACAGATCGACAGGCATTCCAGCCGAAAGTAGGACTTCTGCATGTTTCGGCGAGAAAGAAGGGCCGGTTGGAGCCGTAGGCGCTGAGTGACTTCCCTGAGGAGCCAGTGATTCTCATCAAGCAACCGATTCGCCACGGAGAGCGCGGCGAACGTCCGAGCTAGATATCGGAAATAAATTGTCGTCGTCGAACTTTTGAAATAGGCATCGAAAGAATTGACCTATATACCCACCGGAGCGAAATCTGCAGAGAGAGTACTCGTACGTCCCGCCTTGCACGGTTCTACTCATGCGAGTGAGGATTCGCGGTGGGACAATCACGAGCTTCAATCTACTCCGCTCCATTTGCATATATTTAATCTTGCAGCATGCATAAGCTGCCTGCCAGCCTACCCGCCTGCCTGCCTGGCTGCCCGCTCGCCCATCTTCGAGCTTGTCCGCCAGACCCTCTATACCTGTCCCCGATATTTCGATGAGACACTCCCCAACTTTGATTTCCTTAGGAGAAACGGAATCTTCACTCAGGCTCGCCCCTCTCCGCTATGAGTTGCCGGTAGGGAAAAAATTCGTTTGGGACTCGATTCGGGGGACAGCCTAGGTACGATGCATGCAGTGGGGGAACGAGGGATTCGAGGAAAACGGGAAGCGCAGCGGACGTTTTCTATCCATTTCAGGCAGCGTTCCACAGGCAGTTGTGTTTTTCTTTCCATCGATTATATTCTCATGCATTATTGACCAAAGTTGCTCCACTGTGTGGGACCTTCAGTTCGCCTCCGGTGGCTCTCCTTCTGTTTCTTTTTTAGATTTCGCTCTCCTGCTCCGCTGTCCTCGACTAAAGCTCACGATGACTACCCCAGAGATTTGACCTCTACGGTTCAGAGCATTTGCGGCTCACCGCTTCTGCGGTTCGTTCGGCTCATTGAAGCTTGCGGGATGGCTCCAAAATCTCGGGCTCTTGCCCCTATGACCTTGACTCCTCACACGCAACTCAGAAGCCCCTCAGCCGGGAAGAGCTATCTGAGAACTTGATTGTTCGCTGAAAAGCGTTCCTTTGCCTTGATGAGAACGAGTCATGCGCTCCGGGGAGAAATCTCCGTCAAAACGCAGCGAGTCCGAAACCAGGAGCTCGAGCAAAGGTTCCGACGGGAACTTTGTGATTCGATCCTCAGAATTTGATTTCGTTCCCATTGCGAACGTGGGTATCTGCTCGAGACGTCGCAACAGACATCCACCTGGAGCGAACCCCGGCGGGTTCGAGTCAGATTCCGTGCAAGTCGAAACATAACAGGGAGCACGAGTCTCCCGTGAGTCTTTTGAAACGTCTTGAGCAGCGGGAAAATTTTCGAACTGAACACACCGGTTAGAGCTCCTTGAAGAGGGCGAGAGCGGGAGACGAGCTCCCCCGACTGTTTCGTCCGACGGAGCTATTTCGGTCGAGACCTCATACCAGTCGGCAGCTCTTGGGACGAGATCCCGAACTCCAAGGCCCAGATCCCACCCTAACGAAGCTCTCGCGCGGAATTCGCCTGTTCACGCGAGAAACTGATGACGGCGGGCGGCGCGTGTTGACACACGGAAGCGTACAGTTCAGACTCTCCCGACACGTCTGAGCAAAGGAACATTCCGGCCCTGTCACATTATTTCCTGCAGGCGCACGCTATTTTCCCATAGGAAACGATGTTGTTTATTAAGGCTGCTTGCGGCGCGAGGAAAAGATGCGGCGGCTACTATGCAGTATAGCTCGGGCCTTTGACCACGTACAACAAACTCCGGCTCTTCCACCTCCTCCTCTCATAGCCACGTCGTTAAAGGGTAAACGAGGTAATAGGAAAAAGTCAGCTGGACGCGAAAAGAGCCAGCAGAAGAATGAGTCATGTTCCAGATGAAGCTTTTCGGCTCGACTACTACCCCGTGCGTAGTCGTCGTCTGCTCTCACCTTCAGCCTCCACCTGATCCTAAAAAAGTATAAGAGTAGGGACGTTTAACGAGCTGTCCATTATAGACAGAGTCTCGTTTCAACGAAGCGAGCCAACCCGAGCTGTCGATAATGAAGGTAAAACCACTTCCCAGATGAGCAGAATCTCTTCCGAGGACTGACCTTAACGATCCAGGCGAAAAGGTGGGCGGGTACGTAGGAGTGCTCGTAACAAAGACGCGCCGCCGAGGACGCACACCAGCGGCGAGGGCTCGCACGAATTGTCGCAAAAGAGAAACATACCCTTCAGAATATCGTAAGCAAGCGGACTATCGAGAGCAAAGTCAGTGGAGCGGTCATGGAGCTATCCTCCGCATCTTTGTGCGAGGACTGATCACCAGAGGAGCGAACTCTGTCCCTGCGCAAATGATCTTTACCGAGCAAGGTCCTTCGTCGGATCGCAAATCGCGAGTCAGTGGACGTTGTTCAACCGACACGTCGCAAGCCTGCCCTCGTGCTCGAGATCGTGGCTTTATCGGTGTTCTTTACCAGCCTCGCTGGGACCCCAACTTCCGCGAAGTCATACCCAACCACCGAGTTCCCACGAGGTAGGCGGAATCGCGAGGACTGAGCTATTGTTCGGTATTGCGGAAAAGAAATTACTGTCTGAAAAGAGAAAGAAAATATGTAATTATCGAAATATACATTTTCGCGGGCCTCTAGGAACGCGATGTATCGCAGCTTCGATCCGCTATCGAAAACTTTCCGGATCATCTCGACTTGGAATGGTCCTGTACGCGACGATGTTATTTCGGCGGCGTCCCCAAATAGCGCCCACAGTGAGGCAGCTATGTTTATACTAGCACGGATGCACCGAGTCCGGTCTGCCGAGAGCTTCGCATACCGAGCCATCCACCGACGAACGGGAAGGCGAGCGAGCAACAATGTCGAAAATGTATTTCTGAGCGATCGATACCTCCCGCTAGCGAATTCTTCTCGCCTTGTCGTGTTTGACCCGATAAAAAGGACGACGATACTTCACGACCTGGAAGCGCCCTCTTCGGAACCGATGCGTCGCAGTTAGTCTGGCGCGTCGTGTCGATGCGCACTCAAATCTTTCCGAAGGTACTTTTCTTTATCGAGCGACCACTCATCCATATTTTATCCCATTTCTCTCTTCTATTCCCCTCCTCAGCCTCCCGACCTGTCTATCAATCTCGCGATCGTTCGGGGAGACATTCGTAAAAACCGCGAGATCTTGGACGATACGGGTGGAGTCCGTCTCGTTGATTGCCTCCGCAAGAAGCGTCTTGGAGACACTCCGACGATTTCCTTGGTCGGGACCCGGGACGGTGAGACGGTCGCGAGTATCGCGGTCATTCGTCTGTCTCGTGGATTTCACTCTGCTTGCAATGGAACGGATCCGGGACAATGAATGAATCCGAGCTGATTTCCTCTCTGTCGCTCGCTTGGTTGGTCTCATATTATTGTCCCGGTGAGCTCGCGGCGTCCTCCTTCCCGACGTAATCTACACCGTTCGCCGTTGGAAGTCGTCGTGTCTGGCTCCATATTTCCATTGGAACGGATGAGATATTATGCCATCATGGAACTTATGTCGGCTCCGCTGGCAATAAACGAGGACACTACGGCGAAATACGAATCCTGACTCGGAGAGGCTCCTGAGGATTTCAGGAGTTATGGTTGCGCCATGAAGGGAAGTCGCGTTTTTATTGCTGGGGACGCTCCCCTCATCCATTTCCAGCTCCAATTGAAAAAGCTGAATATTGCGCGGAGCATGACGCGGTGACGCGGTGACGGTCGAGACTCTGAGCTCCGAGACCGAGCGAGGTATTCGCAGTAGACGGCGGTGGCTAAAGCGGGACACGCCGGTCCAGCTGCGACGCCTCTGCATTATGTACGCGACGCAAGGCAGATATTGAGAACGGATGACTGAGCGGGAATCCCAAGGGGTGTTCATCCCGGGCAACCATCGCTTCGAGAACTGAACTAGATGCGTCAAGAGATTTATCACGTCCCCAAGTCCACAGACTCATAAGAAATCTCTCCCACACCCATTACGGGTCTTCGCAGGAGACGCGCTCAATCCTCATACATGAGCATCGAAGCGGCTTAGGTCTCAAATTTGATCGTTCAACAAATTTTTGGGAAGATTGTGCGTCGAATACGAAAGTGCGACATGTGACGAGCTCCTACGTTCGAAATGTCAGGATGATCTACCATAGCGCCTTACGCGATCCGTTATCCGGAAGCGATCGCTGCTCTCCCGGCTGGCGCTTGCTGTCCCTCTGCAGGGATGGACTTACATCCCCAGATGTAACTTCAATTTATACTTTGCGCCGGCCGCGGACGGAACCGGAAAATCGGGAATGGATTCGCTCAGTGCGCTGACCACTCCCCTCGTAGACCTGATTCTTAACGGAGAAACGACGGAGAATTTTCAGCTTTCGGGAGCCTTGACGGTATCTGAGGCACTCCGACAAGTGTCCATCCCTGAGAGCTTCCAACAAAAAACGACACACCGCGGGAATCTTGAGTGCATGATCATCCTGCATTTTCGAAAAATGATCTTCGGTAATAAGAGTCTGACACCGGGTGGACTGAGTTCGCTACTTCCCACCATGATGTTGGCTGAATGTCTCTTGAAATCCCCCGTGAGAACTGAGCGGCTAAATCCATCTGATGGAACCCAGATGAGGCCCAAGGAAACTGAAAAACCGTCTCGCGCCACACATGTTTCCAGGATAAATTCTCTATTCTCGCTACAAAGAGAGAGTGAGCATGGCGCAACATTCCCTGAGCAAGATCTCTCTAGCCATTACGAAGGTAGCTCATCTGAAGAGGGAAATTCCCCTCGAAACCTCCCCCTCCCCTCCGAGACGAAATGTCTCGACATGACGGAAAGGTCCAGAGATATAAATGATGCGAATCTGCGAAATCCAGATGAAATTCGTGTCTCCCTGCAAGACTCTCCGTTGTAGGGGAAACCTGGCGCATGGAACCAGACATGAGAGTAGACATTTCTCCTGACATGGATATTCCTGAAGAGAACGAGAGCACCGTCATCGCCGTTTTCAGCATTCAACACGGGACGCATCCCTTCAAAAATAGAAGGGACGCTCGTGTTCTGCTGGAGACTGCTTCCATTCATGGAATCGCTCGAAATTCAAGAGATGGGACGAAAACTCATCATTCCGGGGAGCAAGCGGTATCAGCGACTCAGTCGAGCGAGTCCTCGAGGACAATCCCGCGAAGTCGCGAGCAGAGATAGTACGAAGCGAATTCTGCTCAGATGCCGTTCCATGAGATCAGACGGCTCAGGCGGCGGACTGATTAAGCCTCCAGCCACTGATCCGTCGAACGACGTCCGGATCGGCCGAAGGCCAGCCTTTCGGTGGCTCGACCTGGAACGTGATTAAGCTTTATCCACGTCAGGCAACAAATCGGGGGCTTCAGATGTGCCGGTAACGCAGTAGAAAGCCTGAGTTCTGCGTAGATTGATCGATAATTTACGCCGGTGGCTTGTTTCTCTTCGTTTTCTCCATTCATCTCCGATTTCGGGAACTTTGTCCGAATTTATTGCTGCCAGATTCTGGGTTGTAGAATGTCGGCGCCGCGCCGCTCGTTCCGAAAATGGACGTACACTTCCTCTTCGGTGCCGTCTTTCCTGTCGGTGAGCTTCGCTTCATCCAGCCGCCATTTCCGTCGCTCGCCACTTTCACACTGGCAACTAGAGGAGGTGAATGAGATCGGTGCGAGAGCCCCCAAATCCCAATTCCCTACACATGTAACCGGCAGTGTGACAGCCGGGAAAGGAATGGTCGGAAAGCCTGCAGGACAGAGGCTGTCCTGAACAAGATGGTGAACGTTATTTCAAGTCAGCGCTCCCACAATACTCCTCGTAGGAAGGTCGAATTCGAACGGAGTCGGATGCTCATTTCGCAATATTTCGCAGCTTCTCAAAGGGATCGTCTCGCGTCGAAAGTTCGGAGACAATTCGATGAGCTCCTTCCAAGCTCAACGCGTCACGGAAACGGAAATCGATCCGGACGGAAGGTCTGCTGTCAGAAGCAGTTGTAGTCTCCGCCCTCCCAGTTTTCGTTCCGAGCGACTTCAAATTTTCGGTTTCTGCTATGCCGCTTCCGCTCCGGTCCCGCCGACCCCCGAACTTTTTTCCGGTCTCCTCTCACACAGCACCGGCAGGGACCGACGACGACGTTTACTCTAGCAGTTTTCCACGCAATGATTCCGCGTCCGTTCGCTACGAGGGATTGTAGGTATATTGAAAACGCGATATTCTCAGCCGGATATGATTTGCGGTGCGTGGCGCTGTCCCGGACCAACTTGGACTCGATGAAAACTCGAACTTCCATGAAGGAATGGAGCCTGCGAGTGCGCGAAGCGCGCAGGGAGACAATCCGATGTTGTCGAAAATCGTTGTCCGGATGGGTAATAAATTATTCGGATGAATTGGCTGTCTCGCCAGGATGCATGACCCCCAATGCCCGGTAGGGATTCTGCTGACGACTCGAGGAATTCCCGAATGAGGGCAGTCTGCCCCTGGTTCGGTAGATCTTGTCCTGCTCTGACCTTCTCAGTCTTTCTTAGGCGGGCATATATCCTAGCTTTTCCACTACACGCGCTGAGCTCGCTCACCGCTACCGAAACAATGAGGATACATGAGAGCGTTAGATTCGACCGGTCCAGTGTTTACATTTTCGCGCGAGGCACGCGACCAACGAGACGCACCAGCTCCCTCCTCGAAGGCGGGAGGCCAGCGGGCCTTCATTCAGGGCTTCAATCGAAGACTAGCCAAGGAATTACTGTACTGCGGGGAGAGGAGCCGAAGCGAACTGAGCTTCGTTCGGGCCCGTATTTTTCGCGTTAGATCGCGAGATCACCCTTACGGAACTCGGAGAATGCCGAGTTTCTCCGAAGACTTCTCTGATGAGTTCCCTCCGCATGGACTACCGTCCCTTTTCGCATCATGATATTTCGCATCTTAGCCATGAAATAATCTCCCCCTATATCTTCAATAATACTATAACCGCGCCGAATTCCGACATCCAGATATCACAGTTTTAATCGCATCATAATTAGAAGAAGGTTGAGAAGTTCACTCGTCCGCGATAACTCCATCGAAGCGGAGTCACTCATCCGCCACTCGACCGAGCTGCTCATCATGAGAGAAAACTTCATTTACGGCTCGGGCAAAAATTATCGCATCGCGTTCGGCGAGTTCTGCGATTCGTCTCTGCTGCAGGTCTCTTCTGTCCAGGAGGAAAAAACTCGAACAACATACCATTGTGTCGGCTCTTGGTGGCAAGGGAAGAGTGTGTTGATGTTGCCTGTGGTAGATGTGCACTATTGGGAACGAGTGATTTGTTTCCGCGAACGAATGATTCGCTCAAAATCAGCTGAGATCAGGGCGACAAAAAGGCGTGAAGCTGCGCGAACGTTTTCTCTACGATCAGCAAGCGGGGAAGGATAGAACGGGGGTTTCACAGCGCGCTCCGAGGCCTTCCGAACACCGGACACTCTGCACTAGGTCGTCTCGATTGGACAAAGATCTGCCTCTAAGTCTCTTCCTTACTCCGACCCTCTCCCCTTTCGTTAAGCTTTGCGGCATCCGCCGCTTAAGACGAAGTCCCCGAGAGTAATCACTGGAATGGGAATGATACCGATTCCACTCTCGGTTCGGGCCGAATGATCATCAGAGAACGCTGGACAATGCATTGATCATGCTGAAGAGACTGTGCGGTCCTCTGGTAGAGCGAACTCCTTTCGGGCTTCCGGAAGCTCCACCGTCCGTCGTTTAGAGAGCATTCGATTCGTGTCATCGTGAGCTTGTGTGATATTTATTTCAGGTGGTATGGATCGGTGCAGGTGGTGGCAATAACTTCTCATCACAGGTATGAGTTAGGAGCTTCTTGCCTATGTCATTTGCTGGTCACTCGTGGCTTTCATGTGCCCGCGGTATGAACATCCGGGCGCAGGGCGCTCCTAGCATTCCATGAGCAATATGCCCGTCAATTGTCCGATGCATTCGGCACCCGTTCGGGTACGCTGTTTTTCAGAATGTTCAACTTTAGTTCTCTCATATTCGGCATTAAGTCTGAATGGTGAATGACCCACCATCGTTCCGTGAGAGCTCTGAGGTTCTCCCACCTGCTGCGGTCTACGGGCACTTCGATGTCAACAATGACTGGAGCCAACATGTTTGGATTTTCTTTTCGAACGGAATCGAGACCCGGCCAGGTGCCCGGATAGACTCAAATTTGACGGAGCTTGAGGCCCGAATTCGCCAACGAATTTACTGAGCTACTCATCTCTTTTCCGCTCGCACGGGCCATCCAATGCAGGAACGATTTTTATTGCGCAATCTCTGTCGGACCTTATCAGAAATATATGAAGCGGGAATTCGAGGAGGCTGAGCTGATTATCATCGAACCCCTTGTATTTCGATTCGCCCCCTAACCCATGCGGCGCGAGCCGGACGAACACCGCTCTGAATTCCAGAGGAATTCTTTTATGCAATAGATGAGCGGAAGTGCCGCGAATTTCATTCAATCAGCGCGGACCGTACATTCTTGGGTTCACATCGAAAGAGGAGAGGGATGACCGCTCTGACCTTTCTCGCCCACCTATCCGGACTCGTATAAGTATGAAAAGATGCAGCACTCTGACTTCTGAATCCGAGTGGTGCTTTTCCCTTCATCGACCTCTCCGTCTACTGAGCACCGCCTAGGGACCAGGACCCTGTGACAGCCTCGCTCCCTTTCGCTGTTAGGGGAATTCCGCGCCGTAGCTGAACTAACCAGTTCCCTCGGATTCTCAGTTCGCGAAAAGTTCAATATGGATCCGGCGTTGTTGAAAGACCGCGAGGCCTTCAAGAAGCGGGCGGTGGCCGTCCCGGTCGTCGAGAACAGGAAGCGGGAAACCACGCCGAAGGATGTGAAGAAAAGACCCGCGATCCCCTCGAAATCCTTCGAGCCTCCTCCACCGAAGGATCCCTTCAGGTACTGAATACTCGCCGATATCGACAGTGGTGAAGAGAACCGGGCGACGCAGAGTTTCGTATTAATTTGTTCCATCTTACACAGGTACAAGAGCGTTTCCGGCACGGGGAACTCATTCTCGGTTCTCGCAAAGATTGTCAAGTACATGAAGACGCGTCACCTCGAAGGAGAGACACACGAGCTGAGTCTCGACGAAATTCTCGATGAGACTTCCCAGGTACGATCCCCAAATTTCCTTCTTCTATATTTACATAATTTTTATAATCTAATCGATCGATGAGTTTAACCGTGTCTTCTCTGGATATTCCAGATGGACGTTGGCACACGCCAAAAGACGTGGCTGGAGCAAGAGGCGCTGAAATCGAATCCGAAAATCGAGGTCACCGAGGACGGAAAGTACAAGTTCAGGCCACCCTATAACATTCGAGATCGAAGATCGCTATTCAAACTATTGGAAAAACACGATCAGCGAGGCCTCGGAGGCATACTTCTCGACGACATCCGAGAATCCATGGCGCACGTGGATGTTGTTTTGAAGAAACTAGAGGACAGCGTACTTTACGTCACGAGGCCAACAGACAAAAAGGTCGGTTCGAAATTCGCAGGCTCTACGGACTCCTAATTCTCTTTCGGGATCCGTCCGATACTGCTGGAAAGATCCCCATCGGTAACTCATTTTATTTCTCCATTAAATAATTCATAGATACTTACGGAGTTCCGTTGGTTCCAGGTGGTTCTTTTCTACAACGACAAGTCAGTCCAGTTGAATGTGGATGAGTATCTCCAGAAAGTGTTGAGATCAGTCGCCACGGATGGCGTCGATGACGCCAAAATAGAGGAATATCTGAAGAAACGAGGCATACACTCCATGCAAGACAACGGCAGTAAGAAAGTCAATCCGATTCTCAAGAGGAAACGAGCCGCTCCGAAGAAGGCTCGACAGTACAAGCGTCACAATGAACATCTGGGTGATGTCCTCCAGGAGTACAACGAAGGCTGATGTAGATACCTATACATTTCGAAATCTCGATCGAGAGTTCCAGACTTTGCGACGAATCGTGTGGAGAAACGAACTCATTGTTAAATAAGGATCCGGGAGAAACCCGTTCAGACTAGGGGGAAAAGTTGAAGCTTTAGCATTGTGTTTCATAGGAAATGAGTAAATGAATTGGGTCATCACGAGGGAACACCGGATCAGTTGATGCCCCGCGGATAGTAAATACTTGTAAATAAAAGACAGATGAACCGATGGAGGTGTCGAATATGAATTATGACATTCCGTATGCATCTGCGCATGCTTGTCAGGCCGATCAATCCGAAGACCGAGGCAGCGGATGAATCTGCATCCTTCTCCCTAGAATTTCCCTGAATCTCCCTAGAGGAGTTTGTCTCATTTCTTTTCGCAAAAAAAAAATGACGGTACGAGCTCTGATATGGGAAAGTTCGAATTCAGGTATTTGGATTTCCATAAAATATCGTATTCATGATCTGAGCAAGATCCTTGCCGCGGACGGAAGGATCGCCACCGGCGTATCTTGAAACCCAATTGAGTGGGGCCGAAATCGCTCTCAGAGCGAGTATTTTATGACTGATAAGAAATTCCTCGGAAACGGGGCACGAATCTCGAAAGGGATCCCCCAATCCACTCATTTCTTGATTCGCGGCCGATTTCGATATTGTGAGATCAAAGAGCGGCTTCGCGCTGCGAAAGCTCTCACTCGCCCGTCCAGACACAGCGCGCTCGTTTGGCGCGGTTATGGTAGAGCCGTAGCGATCAGCTGTTCCTCGCGAAGCTGCTCTGTGCAGCCCAAAACTCGCGCATTCCTCTCGAAACTCCCGGCTCTGAGCTGCTCTGAAGCGCACTCAATGCGGCAGGGACAGTGATATCAGATCACAATGTCCGGGCCGTTCTGTTTGCAAAGGCTGCGCCAGCTCGTCCAGCGTCAGGTTCAGGAGAAAACATTCAACTCTACCATGAGCAAAGTGAGTTTCAAAACCCGTGACGGTTGCGGAGCCGCTCCAGAAACCCCCCGGTAGTCTTCTCTTGCTCTTCCGCTCGGTTCCGGCTGCCTTCAGTGAAGCAGAAAGACTCATCTCATCTCTGTGCTACCAACGTCGGTAGAATTGAATTAGTCCTGAACGGAAAAAGGCACCCAGGCGTCAGCTGTCGACAACTCTTCTCACGATTCGCGAATAGAATCGCTTCCACCCTAAACAATGAAACCTCTGTCCTCACCACCTGCTCCTCCGCCCGCACCTCCGCCGAGTGATCGCACGACGACGGGCCAACGGAATAGAGAGATTCCGGTGCAGGATCCAGTGAACACCGTCTGTAACAGATGGGCGTTTTTCGCAGAGGAATATCCAGTCGCTATCGTCAAATACTTGAATCTCGATCCCCTCATCCAACAAGGACCTCAATGCGGACTCGTGGCGCTCGTCATGATCGCTCATTCCTTGGGCAGGAATGTGACTGTCGAAGACGCTCTGCGCTTCGCCCAGGAAAAGGGCTTCTCAAAACTCGGTGAAATCTTCGACATCCGCAACATGAAGCAGCTTTGCAGCCAAGTTGTCGGTCGCGTTTCCATCGTGATGGAATTTCCGGAAAAATCAGAAATGATTGAGGATCTGATCAAAGGGAAAGTTTTCTTGGTGCCGTACGACGCGGACTCGAACCACGAACCCTGTCGACGGAACGGTCGGGCAGCGCACTGGGCTGTGATATTCGGAGTGCTTCTCATGAGGCCTGAATGTTATTGCCTTGAAGGCTTGCAGAAGCTGAGTACGCAGAAGCCCATATACCGAGCAGAGTTGGGCTACGATTGCAAAAGGACTGGCAACGATTTCCTTTTCGCACGTCAAGGCAAGAGTCGTCATGTCGCCGTTTGGATGTACGAGGATTTACGTGACAGCTGTCTACAACTAAACGAGCCCAGTGACAAATACGACGGAATGGTTCTACCCGAGGGAGGGATCCAGCGCGGTCTCAAGGGCAAGGTCTTGCGAGTGGAGCTTTGATCAACGGGGCGCGAGGCTCAGTCTTCGGTGGCATGAGAGCTTTGGGTCGCGAGATTGCATGTGTAGAAGACTTTCCTCAGAATCGATTTTGCTTGATAAAGAGTTCCGTGGTTCTCGCGGAAGGCGGACGCCTCGTCTGAATTGTTCATGTCTCTATTAGGTCGTTTGCAAGCCCAAACTGAAACATTTCGCTCTTGCAGCTCGAGTTGATTTCTGCGAGCGAGGGTAAATGCGTTGCAGAACTGACCCTAGAAAAGTCGCATCTGAACCTCGCTGGGACAATGCACGGCGGTGTTTCGGCCACTCTTATCGATAACGTCTCAACGTACGCCTTGTTGACAGTTACCGATAGCAGGAGTGCGAGCGTGGATTTGAACGTGTCGTTCCTGGGCCCTGCCAAAGAAGGTGACGTGGTACGGATCGAAGCATCAACCCTGAGGGCCGGGCAGACGCTCGCGTACCTCACCGTAGATATCCGGAAAGGAGAGAGACTACTAGCCACGGGTCGACACACGAAATATCTCCAGAAAAACGTTGACTACTTTGGGAATACGAAATGATTCACAGTTATCTGAATCTATATCGAATATTTATACGGAGCCGAAGAGTCGGGAATATTTCGAATAAAACGAATGTTTCACTCCTAAAAACCGATTCATGGACCCTCCCCATTTTGTTCCGCTCCTATAACCGAACATGGAGAACACATCAGATCCGTCTCGAATGAATTCGAATTCATGGATATTCCTCAAGTTCTTTGTGGCGGGTTCAAGGACATTCCTCAAGTTTTCTCGCCCCAATATCCGAGCGTAGTGGACACATCTGATCCGTAAAGAATAAATACCGACTTTATTACATCAATAAACAATAGTTGGTTGAGCTTCGCGAGAAAAAAAAAGATAAAGCATCTTTATGAACAGACGATAAAGGAGAAGCTGGGCAATCCCGAATTTGGTTCGATGGTTTCTCGGTGAGTCGCGTGCAAGTTCTCTGATTCGCATTTGGCCCGAATTCGACTTTCCCCCTCCATCATTTGGAATCCCGGGGCCATTCTGTCTCATCATCATCGGTCGCCGATGACTACCTCAGAGCCGATGAGGAGAGACTCGAATGATCACTCGAAATTCGCGGAAAGCTCCGAATTCTCAAGCGCAGAATCGAGGTTGCTTCACGAAGCGTAAGGTGCGCCGCGAGACGGAAATGTGAATGGTGCATAGGATTCAGTCGTGCACTGGCAGTTCCAGTTTTAGAACTTGATGTCCCACAACTTCACGTTGCTGTCTTGTCCGGTCGACACGACCGTATTGTTGTCGATCCAAGCGATTTTGGTGATCTGAGACTGGGGATGAGCTTTCTTCAGAATAAGATGTTTCGATGGATTCTCAACACTCCAGATGATTATAGAAGTATCCAGACTACCAGACGCTAGGAACAACGAATTCGGCGACCAGGACAGGCAATTGACCTGGAAAATAAATTTCTCGAGACGTCATTCATGACATCCAATTCAGCGATTCGACCGAATACAGTTCACAGGACTCCGAAACCTTGAGGAGAAAGATGCAAACCTTCGCCGTATGGAAGCACCAATCGAAGTCGTGAGCAGGAGCGTAGCTGTCCTGAACAGAGTACAATCGTATCATACGATTCCCATCGCAGGCGGCAAGCAGATCTCCTCGGGGAGAATACTTGACGTCCGTGATAGCCGCACGATGCTCGATGGTTGCGCGCTCGTCAAGCTCGCTCGGGGTCACGGCGTAGGCGTGCACCTACAGAAAGCTGTCAGGTGAGCCATTTTCCCTCCTGAGATTAAAATGCAAATGCCAGAGATGGATCTCTCGCTCCGCTCGGATTCAGGCTTACTTTGTTGTCGCTGCAACTTCCGACAGCTACGTGGCTGCCCTCGGGATGGAGGGATACGCAGCTGGCTTCGTAGCTTATGGGGAGCACAATTTTCTTCGAATTGCCCTCGATGATCGTGATGTCCTTGTGGCCAGCCACGGCCACTAGTCGGCCATCGGTAGAAATACCCCGGGGTTGTGACTCACCGCTGACGGTCCACATCCTGAAGAATCCGAGAAAACTATGAGCCCATCTCCCGATCGGACGACACATATTCACCTTCGAGAAATCTAGAAAGCAGGTCCCTTGAACCTACGCGTATTCGTCGCCGGAGGTATCGATTTTCCTGAAAGTGTCATCGAATCCGCAGGTGTAGACGCAGTTGGAAGTTGTGCACATGTCTTGCACCTGACTCGTGTGGCACTGGCCTTTGACCCGATCTTGATCTCCCGAAGGCACGCTCCATCTGTAGATATCGACAACTTGCAATTAGATACCTCCGAGCATCGTTGCCGCGGAATCGACGCCGATTGATATCTTAGCGATACCAGGATGGAAACTTATTTGACGAATTTCAGCGCACCTGGTCACGAAACCATCGTGACTACCGGTGTATATTTTCTTCCTGTCCTCCGAGACAGCCATCGCCGTGATAGGTTTGTTATGGCCTTTGAGCACGCGCAAGGGCTTCGAAGGATTGTTTTTGTCTAAATACGAGATAAATCCGGATAAGCCCACGGTGAGTAGGTGCTCGCCCTGCCACAGACAGGAAACCTGGCAAGGTAAAGAATAAGTAATCAATATCGATCATGAATCTCATTCAATTTGACTCCGGAATTTCCGTCCCCCCGGATCCATGGATCCCCTCCCACGGCCGGGTTCTCACCTGTTGGTCGAGCACATCAGTGCCCATGACGAACGTGGAGACCGCTTGGCGGGTCGCAACATCCCAGATCTTGGAGCTTTTATCCCCGGATGCGGAAAGGAGCTGACTCCCGTCAGGAGACCACGATACAGCGTAAACGCCGCCCTTGTGAGCAGGGGGACCTAATTCCCCGATAAGTTCATACGTGTCCGCGTTGTAAATGAAGATTTTGCCATCAAAGCCGCCCGTAGCGAAAAGCTTTCCGTCGGGCGAGTACCTCACAGACTGTACGTATTTTGTGTGGTTTTGGAGCGAAGTCTTGTACTTGAACGGTGGTCCCTCATAAATGTTTGCCATGTTGTCCTCAGACCCGGTCAGGATACGCATCGGTCGAGTCGGTCTGTTGAACGATACAAAAAAAAGATATAGTCCTCAGAATTCATCCGAACTGTTGTCCCGAATCGACCCAAACTCGGTCCCAAATTGATAATATCTCCTGAAGGAAATGGAAAATACCTGAAGTCGACGGAGTTGATAACTCCGCTGTGGCCCCCGATTTCTCCAACTGATGTGCCGGTCTCGGCGTTGATAACGTGGCCGAAACGTTCCCGACCTTCTCCGACGACTACGATTCTTTGGTTGTCGTTCGACCACGCGAGATCTTTGATGTTTCCTATGAAAGGCTGGAAGAGACGACCAATTGATTTTCGTTACTTCAACTGAGGCTAGAGAATGGGTTATGGTCATCGTCGGATTGAATGAAACGACGCTGCACCTGAAATTCGTTCTTCAGCACATGCTCCTTATTGACCGTGTCCCAAATCCTGATCTTCCCCGATATATCAGCCGAGCAGATATAGAATCCACTCGGCGAGTATTTCGCGACCGTCGTTGTGGTAGAATGCTCTGCGTAAATGTCGCACGACGCAGGATTCTAAGGACAAAATGAAGAAACGTCAGTATCATGTTGCGGATACGACCTCTCGACTAGCCTCTACGGTACCGAGTTCCAGTGTAAACGACAGGTGGAGGGAATAGAGGCATCGAGCCGCAATCCATGAATCCGATTCGGTCGATGCGGGAAGTAGTACATGGTGTGGCGTATCCACCCGCGCATAGAGCTCAAAGAGGGATCGAGAAAAGGAATGCCAGATTCACCTGAATGTCTCTGATGACCACGTAGTGTCCATTTGTGTATAAGAAATTCTTCCCTTTGGGATCACCTCCCAGGACGATGGGCCTGCCGCGCTCTGTGCGAGGAAGAGTTGGCCACGTAGCCTCTGAAAAACAAAGTTCGTATGGGAAAGGAGTCGACTGTTGGCGATTGATTTCTCCCAGAGCCTCGATTCGGCTCAAGTTTCGATCATCCGTGAGTTCCCCTTGCTGTCTAGCGGGAGGTGCGAGATGATCCCACGGTAGTCGCGGCATGATTGAGAGGTTATTCGTGTATGATACATTGCGGATCGCTCGAAACGGAGCCGACAGTGTCCGTCTGAGCATTCTGTATAACTATGACTCAATCGTCGTCAATGGCTTTCTAATGTTCCGAATAGCTCGCAGCTCACAAGGGGAAATTCTTGAAGAGGGCGAGCGACAGAAAGGCCAGGACTTGATGCTCCGATTCGGCTTCAGAGATATGCGTGAAGCAAAGCGAAACTCAGAGAAGCTCGGTGGAGTCCACGCATCCGAATCCCCTCCAGTGTGCATTAATTCTGGCACCTAAACTGTAATGCGCCGTCTGCTCGAGCATCAATCGTCTTCATGAGTGATAGAAGCCTCCCATGGTGAAACCGAGGCGTTGTCAGATGCTTTATCCGAAGATGGACCGTCTCGCTTGAGCACTCCGTCCGTATCGCGGCTCGTGAAACGACTTCCGGCCGACTCGTCCCCCTCTGTTCCCGAGCGCCGCGGGAATTCCGCAGATAATAAGTTTGTTTCTCAGCGAGGTCCCACAGGACAGGCTCAAGTCAAGGACTCTAATGGCCTCGACGCTTTGTCACCACTTGAAAGTGTGTCTCGATCGAAGAGTTTGTGCCGAGTTCGGTGAGGAACTCTGTGTGCCTTGAGTGGGCGGGAACCTGAGCGACCGTGGGAGAACTCAACAGCGACGCAAGTGAGCCTGGGACAGAATCAACTGAACACGATATAGCAACTGGGGAAAGCGATGTGGATTTCCGATATTCGGCGCGAATTCTCAATGAACCCCATCCATTTAGGAGTCTTCTGAGGGGTAACCTCATTTTCCTTCATCGTCTCTCGTCCGAACCACGAGTTCTCGTTTTCTTGAACTGAGTCCGTCTCTCCCCGAAACCCGAGAACAGAACAGAAGCGGGAACTAATTTTTGATTCGACTGCAAAGAAGTCCGATCAATTACCGGTAAGCTCAATACATCCATCGAAACGTTTCCTTTCGAACAAGAATAAGGGTTGACAAGCGGCGTCAGGGCTCGCGACGAGAGAAAGTTCCGTTTGGCCCGAGGTATTAATCAGAGCTCGACCGAAAGTGCCTCACCGGAACTTTGATTGCCATTCCCCTCCAGGAGGCTATTGACAACAGCAGCAGCAATCTCTCGCGTCCTTTTAAGGTAGCGTCTACGATTCGGTGGAGAGGCACCGGCGGTTTAACGCTTCAAACGCGTGACTCACGTCGAAAGTCTACCACAGAAGAAGCAATCGGACCGGCAGAAGTTTCCCCGTCCCTTGATCCGCAGGAAAAGAAATGAATTTCGCTCACGGTTCGAGTAGCTCATGTTGCCGTTCAGCTGGCGCACTAGAGGCGAGGCAGAGATTCAGACAGCGCTCAGGCTGTGACGGACCCTACTGATGAGAGTAGGGCTTCGGGAGAGCCGGATGACACCACCACCAGCACTAGTTCTCTACAGCGAACAGCAAGAGGAGCAGTCTGGCGAGCGGCACGAACAGCGGCTGCAGACAGACTTACATACGAGGAGTAAAGAGTGCCGCGGCGGCAGAGGAGGCGACAGCAAGAGAGCAGACGCGCTTTCGGGGTGTTGTTGGCATGGAATGTGTAGAGTATTCTCTCACGGTCTTCCGGAGAATGCCTAACGGAATCGCATTATGTGCTCGCGAGCTTGCCTTCATGAGGATGCATTCGAAAGAGACCGTGAAGCTCCAGAAAGAATTTTAGTCCGGTCGAAGTGAGAATGATGTTGATGATCTTCTCTGTCGATGAGTTATACAACCAGGCGGCCCGTCTAACGGGTTTCACTCCACAATCCTCCGACCTCATGTTGATGCTTCAGAGGTCATGTCTCGAAGAGCTCGGTGCTCGGCATGTCCTCACTCTTGCACAGGGGGCTCGAAGTTTGTCCCGAATCCGTGGCTGATCTGAGATCGAGGAGCCTAGCCCGCTTGACACTTGTGGCGAATCCCCATAGATAGCTGAATCCGAGGGGTGTAATATCAATAAATGAAGGCCCGCGGAGAAGTTTTTCTGTTGCGATGGGAACGAAACGTCGAGCCCCTGCACGTCCCGTCGTCGGTTGCGACGCAGCGGTAGCGGCGGCGACCAGAAGCAACTTGCCGACGATCCTCGCAAGCCAGAACATCGTGCGAATCAGAGGCAACAGAAAAAGCGACTCCCGGGTATCCAGTGCCCAAGATCTCCTGAGTTTTCTTTGAGTAGGGTATCCCGGGCGGTGATTGCAACATTTGGTGGCAGCGA